GTTCATCATATGGCCATCTGATGAACATTTTGGAGCGTCCACAAGCGTGTGGATGTACTACGAGTGAGTGCGATGGCCTCACTTGTGGTACGGTCGCTAGTACGACTGCACAAAACCTTAGTGTACCAAACGGTTACACTTCGGAGCAAAGTTCCGGCGGCTGTGAGGAAACACAGGCTGCGCCGAAGGTCCACCACTCGAATAAGTCGGGTGGACTGGGACAAAGATGTATCCCTAGCGGGGAACATCTAGAAGAGAAACAATCGATCGCTCAGGTTAAGCGAAACGATAATCCTAGATCGACTGGAGAGTCTTTCGTAGAGGATCTCGCTGTGGTTGCGCAACCCCAGCTAGAGGAAGTAAAGGGAATAAGTCCCAAGATCACAAATACGGCGGAAATAAGTTCCCCGAAACCCGCGGGAATAAGTCCCCGGGAAGACGAAGGAATAAGTCCTTCGAAGCCTGAGGGAATAAGTCCCCAGGAAATGACAGAGACATTGAATGTCATAGTCAATAACGGATCAAGTGTAGGCGCTTATACACTTGATCTGATTGCGCCTCCGAAGTTAACTTCGGAGATCACTCAGTTGCCAACGCTCGAACATAAAAGGTTCTTGCGTGATCTGTGTAGTGTCAAAGTCAAGCAGATCTGCATACTCGTCGCTGACGACGAGTGTGTAACCGACATAAGGTCAGCAACAGTGTTTACTGAGAACGAGAGAGTTCTGAGTAGTTCATCTATGGACGAGAGTGTCCTAGATGAAAAGACACGAATTGAGCGATATGACTCCCAATCATGGGAATCGCTCAAGAAAAATCCTCTCTATGAAGATTTGGTTGAATTCAAGGATGTATTCCCTGAAACTGTTCCGTGCGAATTACCGAAGGATAAAGGTATTCGACACGAAGTCGAGCTTAAACCAGGCTCGAAGTACTGTGTCATGAAGCAGTGGCCACTGCCTCGTGAACAAGTACTTGCGATCGACAAGTTCTTTGCCGATAGTTTAGCTTTGGGCCATGTGAGGGAATCAACTTCCCCACATATCTCTCCGACCTTCTGTGTGCGAAAAGCAACAGGAGGGTGGCGGATAGTGCATGCATTTAACAAGTTGAACGCTGCAACGGTACCGGCTCAGACGCCGATACCGAGGAAGGACGTAATCATTGATGGTATGTCAAAGAGTACCATCTTTTCGTCCATGGATTTGATGGATGGCTTCTATCAAATCCTTATGCGGGAACGGGATATACCCTATACCGCAGTTAGCACGCCTAGCGGCATGCTCTGGGAATGGCTAGTAATGCCACAAGGGCTTAGTAATGCCCCTGCCACGTTCAACAGATGTGTATCACATCTGTTGAGACCAGTACGAGAATTCGCGCCGAGTTATTTCGATGACGTATTCATCCATAGTCGAGCTATGGATGGAAAGTCGGACGTTGAGGTTCACAGGTACCACGTCCGACAAGTTCTTACAATCATGCGAAAGCATCAATTGTATGCTAACCTCAAGAAGTGTATATTTGCGGCAAGCGAAATACCACTTCTTGGGTGCATCGTTGGTAAGAACGGTGTACGTCCTGATCCCGAAAAGATCAAGGCGATCACCGACTGGCCTGTGCCGGTCGATGTCAAAGGTCTTCGAAAATTCCTTGGGCTAGCGGCGTATTTGCATAAGTATTCACGCAATTACGCCGAGATGACTGTGCACCTCTCTCGTTTGTTGAAAAAGAACGAGAGGTGGTTATGGAACGCTGAATGTCAACGCTCCTTTGAGGGTATCAAGTAGAGCTTGATACAATCCCCAGTCCTAGCAATAGCCGATCAAGACAGGCCATTTCATGTGGTCTGTGATGCCAGCGATTTCGCAATCGGCTGTGCACTAATGCAGTACGATCTTGAAGGCGTTGAACGCGTCGTCTGCTATCAGTCGCGTCAGCTGCAACCAGCTGAGCGGAACTATCCAGTGCATGACAAGGAACTCCTTGCCATGAAGTATGCACTCGCGAAGTTCAGAGTCTATCTATTAGGAGATAGACCCTTCGTTGTTTACACTGACCATGCGTCATTACGCACGGCAGTGAACAGCCCGCACCTTTCACAACGAATGGCGCGGTGGTTGTCATTCTTTGCGGAATACAACTTTACGGTTGAGTACAAACCAGGACGACTTAATGTCGTCGCTGATGCACTCTCACGTCGTCCCGACTTTGAAACAGTCGCGAAACCCAACAGTGAGACAGTCACTGTTGCGGTTATGACGTCCTCAGTCCCATCTACAACGTTGCATGATGATGTGGGGCGGGCGTATGCCCAAGATGGTGAGATCGTGAAGTTGTTGACACATCTCTCACAGCCATCTCGAGAATCGTTAAAACGATTGTCGCCTGCGTATCGATCTGCATCAGATCGATACACTACTCGCGACGGTTTACTGTAGTACACAGTCGTTTCTGGTGACACACCACGTGTTGTCATTCCAAATGATACTGATATGCGTTTGCGGATCATGTTCGAGTATCACGATGCTCCTATAGGAGGACATCGTGGCCGGGAGAAAACATATCTCACGGTAAGTCGAGACTTTTACTGGCCCCGCCAGTATCAGTTTGTGCGAAAGTATGTTCGCGCATGCGAAGTCTGTCAACGAGTGAAGTCAAGTCCTTCACTGCGTGCACCTTTACAGCCTCTACCGGTTCCGGCTGAGTGCTGGGAATCCATCTCAATGGATTTTGTCTTCGGGTTACCCAAAGACGCACGCGGGAATACGGGTATTCTCGTATTTGTTGACAGATTCAGCAAAATGGTACACCTTGTGGCTGTACCAGAGACAATCACGGCAAGTGGCTGTGCTTGTGTCTTTATTGACACCATCTTCCGACTTCATGGGTTGCCCCGTGAACTCGTGTCAGACAGAGATCCACGATTCACTGCTGATTTCTGGCGTTCCGTGTTCAAATCACTCGGAACGCGCTTGAAGATGTCAACATCTGATCATCCAGAGTCAGATGGTCAGACGGAACGTGCCAATCGTGTCCTTGAAGAGATACTTCGAGGATACGTACACTCCTTTAAGAGTTGGAGTGAGTTTTTGCCAATGGTAGAGTTTGCCATCAACAGCTCGGTGCATGCGTCCACGACACATACACCGTTTTACGTGAATGGCTTGCGCCATCCGCGTGTACCCACCTTACTCGAGTGTAACTCTGGTTTAAGGGGGGGAGGGACTCGCGCGAGCAAAAACCGATTTGGTTCACGCTCATCACGCTCTGACGAAGAAGTCATTGCGTTTGATGCCGATATCGATAACATCGATATCGAAGAAGATGATGCCAGTGAGAGTGCGGAAGCCCTCACTGAAGACAATGATCCCAGTGAGAGTGCGGAAGCCCTCACTGAAGAAAAGGTTGTTGTTGCTGCAGTGCGCTCACAGCACACTGAAGCTAACGAGTCATCAGATGAGTTCATACTGGCTCGTGAAACGGTAGTCCGTTTTGTGCAAGACTCCATCGCCGAAGCGGTGGATAAGCAAAAGCAAAACGCTGACAAGAATGGAAGGGCAAACTTTCTTTTATTTAATAAAGGTGACTTAGTCCTACTGTCTACGGTTAATCTACCAAAGCATGTAGTGACTAACTTGGGTAGCAGTAAACTACTACCCAAGTACATTGGCCCATTTCGTGTATTGCACCGCCTAGGCAATGCATACACGATCGAGTTACCACGTAAGATGCGAACGCATCCCACGTTTTACGTTGGTCGGCTTAAGCCGTACCATCAGTACGCTGCTTCTTCCGATGAAGAACGCCCTTGCGCTCAAGCATCTCGCAAAGAGCCTTGTGCTCCCGATGGTGGGCATCAACAAGGGTCTGAAGAGCAGTTATCTCAGCCCGAGACCGATCAACAATCCCACGAGCTACCCTTAGCTCGTCACGAAGAGATGTCAGAGATCTCTCGTTCTCGAGCTGAGCAAAGGCAAACTCAGCTCGATGCTTCAAGGCAGTGTCCACCATTTGGAGACGCCTATTCCGCTCATGCTCGAGATCGTCGCGTAACCCTTGCGTTACGCGATCAAAAAGCTCTCAGGAATACACCGATCCACATGATCGTGTGGAGGTCGTCTTTCCTCCTCCTCCACCTCCATTAGAGGACTCTCGCGGTGGCCAGCGCTATCTAGTTGAGCAGCTGTTGAACCACCGCGACGTGAACGGACGTCGGACGAGTTATCTCGTCCGGTGGCGCGGCTATCCCCCGTCCTGGGATTCTTGGGAGCCCCGCTCCCAACTGATGATCGACGTACTGGGTCTGGTTGAGCAGTACGACGCGGCACATCCTGTGCCGCAGAAGGACCGCCGGAGAAAGTCTTCCCGGCACGGTCGTAAAGGGATTTCAGGTTGTCAATCCCTTCGTACATCTCAGTAGAGACACGTACGCGCCACCACGGGCTGGTAAGGAGGTAAGCCTCCTTAGGTGCTCGCGCAGAGTTGTTCACACAACATGGGCACGAGTCTCCCCAAGAGAGGCAGGGTAATCCTTTCTCCCTTGACAGACGATGCAGCTTGTAGCGTGCACCTGTCGGGGTTCGCTTTTCAAACTTATCACGAGCTTTGATAAGTTTGTCGTTCCAAGCGTCACGACCTACATCCTCGAGGTTATGGATGTAGGCGTTCCACGCTTGAAGTAGTGAGGACCATCACGCTTGTGGTTCCCACTGTACCATCGATGTCTGAAGAAAGCATCGATGAAGAATTCGTGTTCAGCGCGATAGTTTTTCGCGCTGGGGTCAAGGTGATGGATCCTTGACGAATCGAACAACCGTGTTCGATAACGATCACTCGTCGTCGCCGACAAGTGATCCATGACGGATTTCGGAGGCATCCATGCCTTCTTTTCTGGAGCGAGACGCAACACATTGCGGTCCCGCTCTTCCTGCGACGTGCCGACAGAAGTACTGGCACCTCGCTGTGAAGTGGTGTCCATTGGAGAACCGACACCACTATTAGCGCCCCGAGTCTCGCGACCTCGAGCGCCTTCGCTTCGGCGATGGTTCATCTGATTCATCAGATGAACCAAAGATGCTGCGACGCAAAGCATCGTCCATGCCACGCTTGGCTGGCGGCTTAGATTCAATCGCCGTCGATACGGATCCGTCATCCGTATCAGGAGAGTACGAGACACCGAGCTCGTACTCTGTGAAGACACGAGTGTCTTCATGACCGGCGCCTGCATCACCAAGTGACACAGGCTGGGTCGCTTCAGCAACCGATGGGACATCAGTTGCTGTTGTTTCTGCTTCGGCGTCAACACAGAGACGTGCAGACGCGCTCTCGGCGGCCTTTCTCGCGCATCGCATGGGCTTGTTAACCATGCGATGAGATGTTGGAAAGTGGACGCGGACCAACAAGTGCAAACCCTGTCCCAAATGATTTGGGACGAGTATCCATTTAGTCAATCAGTCACTAAAGTGACTGATGGTTAAGGGGGTGATGTAACGGGGTGAATCGTTACATAACAATTTATAAGAAATTGTTAATAGAATATAACTATAAGAGTTATATTCTCAGAATATTGTCATAAGGACAAATATTCTGTAGCACTTACAAGTAGTTCCTAATTCGTTGATATAGGCCATTATATCAACCAACGAAGACGCGCCACGACAGACGCACGCAATGAGTGGTGAGCAGATAACTGATTTACACATTTGTATTTAGACATAGTTAGATGAAGATAAATAGTGATTTATTGCAGACATTAACTATTATAAATACAGTTCTACTTTTTACTCTAACCAAGTACTCGCTTCTTCTTACCGTCTTCCTCTGCACGTACGAGTGTACGTGAAGTTACGAGGCACCGCCTTATTCTGTCATCAGAATAAGTAGCTTGTACTGTCACCAGTACAAGCTTCAGGGTGCCCCGTTACAGAAGGGAGGTGTGTACATGTTAGTGACTTTTTAACTGACGTTGGTGTGCCATGAAGTATTGCCTCACACTTGTACAAGAATATTTGCACTGACATCGCAACTTGCATTGTGGGTGGCCGCCTCGTGTTGATCGCGGACAACCAAGATGCCCACCCCAACGTTGCTAAGATGGCTTGCATTATTATGAATCCCGGAAAAATCATGATGGCTGGTGGACTACTGAGCACCTCCATAAGCAGGTACGGGACGTCGCCATTGCTGTAACGGGGCACCCTGAAGCTTGTACTGGTGACAGTACAAGCTACTTATTCTGATGACAGAATAAGGCGGTGCCTCGTAACTTCACGTACACTCGTACGTGCAGAGGAAGACGGTAAGAAGAAGCGAGTACTTGGTTAGAGTAAAAAGTAGAACTGTATTTATAATAGTTAATGTCTGCAATAAATCACTATTTATCTTCATCTAACTATGTCTAAATACAAATGTGTAAATCAGTTATCTGCTCACCACTCATTGCGTGCGTCTGTCGTGGCGCTTCTTCGTTGGTTGATATAATGGCCTATATCAACCAATTAGGAACTACTTGTAAGTGCTACAGAATATTTGTCCTTATGACAATATTCTGAGAATATAACTCTTTTAGTTATATTCTATTAACAATTTCTTATAAATTGTTATGTAACGATTCACCCCGTTACATCACCCCCTAACCATCAGTCACTTTAGTGACTGATTGACTAAATGGATACTCGTCCCAAATCATTTGGGACAGGGTTTGCACTTGTTGGTCCGCGTCCACTTTCAACATCTCATCGCATGGTTAACAAGCCCATGCGATGCGCGAGCAAGCCGCCGAGGCGCGTCTGCACGTCTCTGTGCGGACGCCGAAGCAGAAACAACAGCAACTGATGTCCCATCGGTTGCTGAAGCGACCAGCCTGTGTCACTTGGTGATGCAGGCGCCGGTCATGAAGACACTCGTGTCTTCACAGAGTACGAGCTCGGTGTCTCGTACTCTCCTGATACGGATGACGGATCCGTATCGACGGCGATTGAATCGAAGCCGCCTGCCAAGCGTGGCATGGACGATGCTTTGCGTCGCAGCATCTTTGGTTCATCTGATGAATCAGATGAACCATCGCCGAAGCGAAGGCGCTCGAGGTCGCGAGACTCGGGCGCTAATAGTGGTGTCGGTTCTCCAATGGACACCACTTCACAGCGAGGTGCCAGTACTTCTGTCGGCACGTCGCAGGAAGAGCGGGACCGCAATGTGTTGCGTCTCGCTCCAGAAAAAAGGCATGGATGCCTCCTAAATCCGTCATGGATCACTTGTCGGCGACGACGAGTGATCGTTATCGAACACGATTGTTCGATTCGTCAAGGATCCATCACCTTGACCCCAGCGCGAAAAACTATCGCGCTGAACACGAATTCTTCATCGATGCTTTCTTCAGACATCGATGGTACAGTGGGAACCACAAACGTGATGGTCCTCACTACTTCAAGCGTGGAACGCCTACATCCATAACCTCGAGGATGTAGGTCGTGACGCTTGGAACGACAAACTTATCAAAGCTCGTGATAAGTTTGAAAAGCGAACCCCGACAGGTGCACGCTACAAGCTGCAATCGTCTGTCAAGGGAGAAAGGATTACCCTGCCTCTCTTGGGGAGACTCGTGCCCATGTTGTGTGAACAACTCTGCGCGAGCACCTAAGGAGGCTTACCTCCTTACCAGCCCGTGGTGGCGCGTACGTGTCTCTACTGAGATGTACGAAGGGATTGACAACCTGAAATCCCTTTACGACCGTGCCGGGAAGACTTTCTCCGGCGGTCCTTCTGCGGCACAGGATGTGCCGCGTCGTACTGCTCAACCAGACCCAGTACGTCGATCATCAGTTGGGAGCGGGGCTCCCAAGAATCCCAGGACGGGGGATAGCCGCGCCACCGGACGAGATAACTCGTCCGACGTCCGTTCACGTCGCGGTGGTTCAACAGCTGCTCAACTAGATAGCGCTGGCCACCGCGAGAGTCCTCTAATGGAGGTGGAGGAGGAGGAAAGACGACCTCCACACGATCATGTGGATCGGTGTGTTCCTGAGAGCTTCTTTGATCGCGTAACGCAAGGGTTACGCGACGATCTCGAGCATGAGCGGAATAGGCGTCTCCAAATGGTGGACACTGCCTCGAAGCATCGAGCTGAGTTTGCCTTTGCTCAGCTCGAGAACGAGAGATCTCTGACATCTTCTTCGTGACGAGCTAAGGGTAGCTCGTGGGATTGTTGATCGGTCTCGGGCTGAGATAACTGCTCTTCAGACCCTTGTTGATGCCCACCATCGGGAGCACAAGGCTCTTTGCGAGATGCTTGAGCGCAAGGGCGTTCTTCATCGGAAGAAGCAGCGTACTGATGGTACGGCTTAAGCCGACCAACGTAAAACGTGGGATGCGTTCGCATCTTACGTGGTAACTCGATCGTGTATGCATTGCCTAGGCGGTGCAATACACGAAATGGGCCAATGTACTTGGGTAGTAGTTTACTGCTACCCAAGTTAGTCACTACATGCTTTGGTAGATTAACCGTAGACAGTAGGACTAAGTCACCTTTATTAAATAAAAGAAAGTTTGCCCTTCCATTCTTGTCAGCGTTTTGCTTTTGCTTATCCACCGCTTCGGCGATGGAGTCTTGCACAAAACGGACTACCGTTTCACGAGCCAGTATGAACTCATCTGATGACTCGTTAGCTTCAGTGTGCTGTGAGCGCACTGCAGCAACATCAACCTTTTCTTCAGTGAGGGCTTCCGCACTCTCACTGGGATCATTGTCTTCAGTGAGGGCTTCCGCACTCTCACTGGCATCATCTTCTTCGATATCGATGTTATCGATATCGGCATCAAACGCAATGACTTCTTCGTCAGAGCGTGATGAGCGTGAACCAAATCGGTTTTTGCTCGCGCGAGTCCCTCCCCCCCCTTAAACCAGAGTTACACTCGAGTAAGGTGGGTACACGCGGATGGCGCAAGCCATTCACGTAAAAACGGTGTATGTGTCGTGGACGCATGCACCGAGTTGTTGATGGCAAACTCTACCATTGGCAAAAACTCACTCCAACTCTTAAAGGAGTGTACGTATCCTCGAAGTATCTCTTCAAGGACACGATTGGCACGTTCCGTCTGACCATCTGACTCTGGATGATCAGATGTTGACATCTTCAAGCGCGTTCCGAGTGATTTGAACACGGAACGCCAGAAATCAGCAGTGAATCGTGGATCTCTGTCTGACACGAGTTCACGGGGCAACCCATGAAGTCGGAAGATGGTGTCAATAAAGACACAAGCACAGCCACTTGCCGTGATTGTCTCTGGTACAGCCACAAGGTGTACCATTTTGCTGAATCTGTCAACAAATACGAGAATACCCGTATTCCCGCGTGCGTCTTTGGGTAACCCGAAGACAAAATCCATTGAGATGGATTCCCAGCACTCAGCCGGAACCGGTAGAGGCTGTAAAGGTGCACGCAGTGAAGGACTTGACTTCACTCGTTGACAGACTTCGCATGCGCGAACATACTTTCGCACAAACTGATACTGGCGGGGCCAGTAAAAGTCTCGACTTACCGTGAGATATGTTTTCTCTCGGCCACGATGTCCTCCTATAGGAGCATCGTGATACTCGAACATGATCCGCAAACGCAGATCAGTATCATTTGGAATGACAACACGTGGTGTGTCACCAGAAAAGGCTGTATAATACAGTAAACCGTTACGAGTAGTGTATCGATCTGCATCAGATCGATACGCAGGCGACAATCGTTTCAACGATTCTCGGGATGGTTGGGAGAGATGTGTCAACAACTTCACTATCTCACCATCTTGGGCGTATGCCCGCCTCACATCATCATACAACGTTGTAGATGGGACTGAGGACGTCATAACCACAACAGTGACTGTCTCACTGTTGGGTTTCGCGACTGTTTCAAAGTCGGGACGACGTGAGAGTGCATCAGCGACGACATTAAGTCGTCCTGGTTTGTACTCAACCGTAAATTTGTATTCCGCAAAGAATGACAACCACCGCGCCATTCGTTGTGAAAGGTGCGGGCTGTTCACTGCCGTGCGTAATGACGCATGGTCAGTGTAAACAACGAAGGGTCTATCTCCTAATAGATAGACTCTGAACTTCGCGAGTGCATACTTCATGGCAAGGAGTTCCTTGTCATGCACTGGATAGCTCCGCTCAGCCGGTTGCAGCTGACGCGACTGATAGCAGACGACGCGTTCAACGCCTTCAAGATCGTACTGCATTAGTGCACAGCCGATTGCGAAATCGCTGGCATCACAGACCACATGAAATGGCCTGTCCTGATCGGCTATTACTAGGACTGGGGATTGTATCAAGCTCTGCTTGATACCCTCAAAGGAGCGTTGACATTCAGCGTTCCATAACCACCTCTCGTTCTTTTTCAACAAACGAGAGAGGTGTACAGTCATCTCGGCGTAATTGCGTGAATACTTATGCAAATACGCCGCTAGCCCAAGGAATTTTCGAAGACCTTTGACATCGACCGGCACGGGCCAGTCGGTGATCGCCTTGATCTTTTCGGGATCAGGACGTACACCGTTCTTACCAACGATGCACCCAAGAAGTGGTATTTCGCTTGCCGCAAATATACACTTCTTGAGGTTTGCATACAATTGATGCTTTCGCATGATTGTAAGAACTTGTCGGACGTGGTACTTGTGAACCTCAACGTCCGACTTTCCATCCATAGCTCGACTATGGATGAATACGTCATCGAAATAACTCGGCGCGAATTCTCGTACTGGCCTCAACAGATGTGATACACATCTGTTGAACGTGGCAGGGGCATTACTAAGCCCTTGTGGCATTACTAGCCATTCCCAGAGCATGCCGCTAGGCGTGCTAACTGCGGTATAGGGTATATCCCGTTCTCGCATAAGGATTTGATAGAAGCCATCCATCAAATCCATGGACGAAAAGATGGTACTCTTTGACATACCATCAATGATTACGTCCTTCCTCGGTATCGACGTTTGAGCCGGTACCGTTGCAGCGTTCAATTTGTTGAACGCGTGCACTATCCGCCACCCTCCTGTTGCTTTTCGCACACAGAAGGTCGGAGAGCTATGTGGGGAAGTTGATTCCCTCACATGGCCCGCTGCTAAACGATCGGCAAAGAACTTGTCGATCGCAAGTACTTGTTCACGAGGCAGTGGCCACTGCTTCATGACACAGTACTTCGAGCCTGGTTTAAGCTCGACTTCGTGTCGAATACCTTTATCCTTCGGTAATTCGCACGGAACAGTTTCAGGGAATACATCCTTGAATTCAACCAAATCTTCATAGAGAGGATTTTTCTTGAGCGATTCCCATGATTGGGAGTCATATCGCTCAATTCGTGTCTTTTCATCTAGGACACTCTCGTCCATAGATGAACTACTGAGAACTCTCTCGTTCTCAGTAAACACTGTTGCTGACCTTATGTCGGTTACACACTCGTCGTCAGCGACGAGTATGCAGATCTGCTTGACTTTGACACTACGCAGATCACGCAAGAACCTTTTATGTTCGAGCGTTGGCAACTGAGTGATCTCCGAAGTTAACTTCGGAGGCGCAATCAGATCAAGTGTATAAGCGCCTACACTTGATCCGTTATTGACTATGACATTCAATGTCTCTGTCATTTCCTGGGGACTTATTCCCTCAGGCTTCGAAGGACTTATTCCTTCGTCTTCCCGGGGACTTATTCCCGCGGGTTTCGGGGAACTTATTTCCGCCGTATTTGTGATCTTGGGACTTATTCCCTTTACTTCCTCTAGCTGGGGTTGCGCAACCACAGCGAGATCCTCTACGAAAGACTCTCCAGTCGATCTAGGATTATCGTTTCGCTTAACCTGAGCGATCGATTGTTTCTCTTCTAGATGTTCCCCGCTAGGGATACATCTTTGTCCCAGTCCACCCGACTTATTCGAGTGGTGGACCTTCGGCGCAGCCTGTGTTTCCTCACAGCCGCCGGAACTTTGCTCCGAAGTGTAACCGTTTGGTACACTAAGGTTTTGTGCAGTCGTACTAACGACCGTACCACAAGTGAGGCCATCGCACTCACTCGTAGTACATCCACACGCTTGTGGACGCTCCAAAACGTTCATCAGATGGCCATCTGATGAACAAGCGGCAGGCATCGTTACTGTCCGATGTTGCCAGTTTACCCGTGGTTCGTACCTTCTGAGCCACGGTATTCCAAGGATGACATCAAATTTGTCATCCAAATCCAATACGATAAAGTCATCGTCATATTGGGTATCTTCTAGCGTATAGTGGATCTTCACTATACACTTCATGACGGTTACGGATGCGCCTGTCGCAAGACGTACCGTCATCCTCGTAGGAGGTGTGTCACATTCACTGAATTTAAAGTGACCATCTTCTAGCGATTGGCGTCGCACAAAATTGTTGGACGCCCCACAATCGACTAGAGCTCGAAGGGACAACTTATTCGTCACTTCGAGTTTCAAGGTAATGAGTGAGATCTCATTACCTAGAGCAGCAACGCACAATGTCTGTGTGTTGGGAGCAACCTTCATCAAGAGGCCTACAAATTCTCTTGACGTTGCTGGACCAGTAGGGTGCTCCGCACCTACTGATCCTGTCCGTTTTTTGACGGTCCATCCCGTTGTTGCGTCTTTGCACCAACTGCGGACCCTCGTCCCTGCCCCTTTCTCATGGGTGGACGGTCACTACGCCCAGTGTCGCGAGACACTGGACGAGGGGCACTACACTCGTAAGCGTAGTGTCCTGTCTTTTGACATCTGTTGCATCTCTGCAACTTCTTGTAGCCTGTAGAGCGAGCCTTCTCGCTCTCTACATAACAGAGTTCCATCGGCTCTGGACCTCCGTTGTCATATCGTCTCGGTTGACGATATGATGTCGAGCTGGCGCGAGCCTGTCTCAGACTGAAGTCTTCCTGCTCCGCAATGGAAATGGCTTGTTCTAGTGAATCTAGTTCAAGCCGGAACAGGTGAGTCTTGACGGGACCATCCGCAAGACCCTGCATGAACACCGAAACCAACGTGTGTTCATCCACCGGATTAAAACTTATACAACTCGTAAGATGTCGTATATGTTGGGCGTAAGCGTGCACATCACGCTTACCCTGTTTGAGCTTCAAGAGTTCGGTTCGAGCCCTGAACTCAGCTCTAGGCAGTTCAAACGTTTGTCTGAGCCGCGACTTGAAGACTTCCAACGACCCAAACGCATATGGGTCGTGCAACTTGAGCCCCAGTGCCCAAGTCTTGGCACGTCCTGCCAGATTTGACTGGGCAAATGCAACTTGCATATCCCCGTCGTCGATGCGACGCGCCCTTATGGCATCATCCAATTCGACGAACCATCTCAAGAGGGAGTCTTCTTCGACCCCCCTATACCTTGAGATGTCAATCTTCAAAGTCTCGGGTCGACGCGAGTGCATCGACCCGCCAGCAGCAGCCTGCTGCTGTCTCAACAGTTCAAACTGTTGAGCACCTTGTTCTCTCAACAACTCTGCTTGTTGAGAACCTTGTTGGTGAAGCAAGGCTACTTTCTCGCGTTCAGCGTCAAGTTCATTTTGAATGAACTTGGCGATAGTAGCATGTTGGGCATCTCTATTGAGAGCCTCTAGCATGACGCTAACAGCATGGATGCCCATGGTCGAACCCATTCGTTCAACCGCATCCCATTCGACATCGCTCAAATGGGAGTAGCCGTCACGCGTAGCGTGAAAGCTTTGGTCATCTTCATCATCCGACATGAATATGTTGGATGTGAACGCGGTCCTTGGACGGACTACGAAGTGCTACCAGGTGTAACGGGGCACCCTGAAGCTTGTACTGGTGACAGTACAAGCTACTTATTCTGATGACAGAATAAGGCGGTGCCTCGTAACTTCACGTACACTCGTACGTGCAGAGGAAGACGGTAAGAAGAAGCGAGTACTTGGTTAGAGTAAAAAGTAGAACTGTATTTATAATAGTTAATGTCTGCAATAAATCACTATTTATCTTCATCTAACTATGTCTAAATACAAATGTGTAAATCAGTTATCTGCTCACCACTCATTGCGTGCGTCTGTCGTGGCGCGTCTTCGTTGGTTGATATAATGGCCTATATCAACGAATTAGGAACTACTTGTAAGTGCTACAGAATATTTGTCCTTATGACAATATTCTGAGAATATAACTCTTATAGTTATATTCTATTAACAATTTCTTATAAATTGTTATGTAACGATTCACCCCGTTACATCCTTGATCGTCGTATGAATTGTGCGTTTGTGGCCATATCCACATTGGTCGTAGATTTACCCAACACCAACACCTTACTGTCCTTAAGCAGAGCGTGACCAATACAAAGAAGCTGCCGCTGACCCACCGACAGGTTCTCACCACCCTCAGCCACCGCACAGTCAAGTCCCAGCTCCGAACGGTGCAAGCAAGGCGTCAAATGCACCTTTTAAGTACATTTCAAATGTGCTCATCCGAGTATTCGTGAAACGGGTCAAGGTTCTCACGAAAGGTTCCACTAAACAACACACACAGGGTCCTCCTACATAATGGTGGGGCTGCGTCTCAGTTCGCGGACGTTGATAGTAGTACTGTCAACGTCATAAATGAGATGGCGGCCACTGTCAAGGTCGCAGGTGTCAAAAAGCACTATTAATAATGAGGACTTTCCAGCAGCAGTGCGTCCACGGATACCACCTATTTCTCCAGCAGTCACTTGCATATCAACACCTCTGAGAACAAGGGGAAGTCCAGGTCGGTAACGCAAACTTAGTTGGCCGAAATGGATTGTACCTCTGGACGACCATGACGCAGGTACCTTTTTACCGGGAACGCAGTGCTTGGACTCAATCAGCTCGGCAAGTGTTTTACCATTGTCATCTTCCGTTTCAATTTGACGGAAAAACAGCAGTCGCTCGACGCTGGTAATGGCATTGTCCGTTCTATCAACGGAGCGCATGATCCACTGAACCATTGAAGTAACATAAAAGAATATGTGAGTGAAAGACTCGATGTCAGTGACCCGACTGATCCGGTAGTAGCCACAAGATAAAGCGAGACGATGAACATAATGGCGACTGATAGAATATCGAGTCGCGTGGTCAACCATCGGCTTGCAGTCTAATATTAGGTATATGTTCGCGTATGTAACCACGACTCGCCGGTTTAGCTTGATGTAGTTCTCCGTCATGCTGAAGGCTCGGATTGTTCAGGCCAGACAAGGTTGCGCTGAATAGGTTGTACACTGGTGTTCGTGTTGTGCCTTCAAGTCGTTTGATCTCACGCGAAGATTTCTTGCAGTACTGACCAACGTACAGGAAAACGAGAAAGATTAGGATATAAGCCACGCCTATCCAGCACGAGGCAAATGCCGAGACAATCAGTGCGCCAAAAGCTAAGGATGCATTTGAAAGCAGCAACTGATACTCTTGAGTAAGATTGGGTCCACTTGATCCATATCGTTTGAGAAGCGGTTCAAGATCTGACTCATGGTAGCAATGTCGAAGTAACTCGTTATGGGTGCTCGAAGCACGCGTCGAAAAAGGTCGTCATGCATATTCTGCGACGAGCGAATACATACCTCAATGATAAGCAGCGCTCGACCGAAGAAAACTGTCGTACAGAGCACCACGAACCCAAGGAATCACAGTCCGAAGGTTGTGTTTGAGTAGATCAAGTCGATCAAACCTTCTGGTCGCATATTTTGAGCCCAGTGGTCTGGCCACCAGTCCACAACTGTGCGAGCATCTTGGCCAGCGAAATAGATCTCAACAGCCACAGAGATGACGAGAAACCCATTGAACCCGGTTCCGTCGAAGTAAATGTCGTACACGAGGCCTCTAACTTTGCCTTTACTCGATCTTCTGCCCGAATCAGCCTCCCTGCTAACTTGTTTTCAGTGTTGTCTTCTATCCTGATCTCAATTTCGTCTTTTCAGTGGGATCGTGACCATCGGTTGGAGCCTTTGTCAAATTGGCTTCAGCAGTCAAACCACAGGCTCGTTACCAAAGCTCTGGATTTTCTTGCCACCCTCGACACTCGCAGAATAATATGCTGGATTTGGGAATTGACGTAGTACCTCATCGTATGTACCCTGAGTGGCAATCACACCGTCGCGCATCATCACAACATGATCTGCTTGTCCCAGCAAGTCATAGTGGTCGTAAAGCACGAGCAAACGTGTTTGAGCAACGGCTAAACAATAATACACAAGTTAAAGATAGCGTGTGCTACATGCGTATCGACAGCACTTAGACGGTTGTCGAGAATAAGCACGTCCGTACCCGTTCGAAACAGTGCACGAGTATTCGCGACTCGAGCGCTTTGGCCACCGCTCAAATTGATATCACGCTCGCCAATTTTGGTCAAGTCTCCGTCAGGTAGAGCTTTTGGGTCATTTGCAAGCCGAGACGCGGTCAAAACTTGGAAGTACTTCGAGGTACCATAGTCTTGCTCAAAGAGAATGTTCGCGAGTAATGTTGTATTGAGGATCCAATTGTCGTGGCTCACGCAAGCTACTCGAGTGTCAATCTCAAGCGACCCCGAACAGCGCAGCATCACTCCTAAGATGGCATTAATGAGACTCGATTTTCCCGAGCCGCCTTTGATGACAATCATCACGAGTGAGCTACGTTGAATTTTAGGAAGACACCCCGAAGCTGAAATAATTTCTTATCGCTCCTTCATTTTGGCTCTACAAAAGATTGGTAGTCTGCTCTAAGACTAGAGACCAAATCAGGGCTTTCAACATCTGCTGGAGTTATGAGAGCTACGGCTGCACCTCCTGTTGAGCTGACTGGCCATTTGAATGCTCCATCACGGACAGGAGTGTATCCCTGGACAGTTGCTCTGCAGATGACCCAGTCCTGCTTCGAGAGAAGAGAAGTCTTCCGTGACGATGTCAATGGTTTCATGTCGCTTGACTATGAGAGTGGAGTCTAAGAAGCCAGCACTTCACTAGTCGAGAGGAACGCATCGATCCGAGCGTAGGCGATTTTAGCTTTGGATGACCCTCCGATTGCCAAAAGTAGCTGCTTGAGCGCAGCACGAATGTTGTTAACCATAGCGACTAGTGCAAACACCTCCACGATGATGATCTTCTTTCGAACTATCACGTACACACCCATCGTTATTCCAGACAAGAAGGTTGGCGTGATGAACAGCATGACTGTGTTTAACACCTGGTGTGAATGATAGCTCCGCAGCAAACCCACTTCTTTTGCTCGAAGTTTCTCTACACGCTAAGCTAGCAATTCCTTTCATGCATAGAACTTTATTACACGTATGCCCTGCAACGTCTCGGACGTAAACTTGACACGTTCATCAATAACCCGTAGCAATTCTCGCAATACGATCTCCTCGCTTGATCGAAAGGATCATCACAGCAGTGAGTACGACCGCACCAGCAAGCGCAGCGTAGAAATCCAAGAGGTAGCTGATCAGCATGCACGATACAAGGAAAGGTTACGGACTCAAAACAAGTCATGGCCCTATTACCATCGCAGTGAAGACACACTCAGTATCGACACTCATGAGCGTCAAAATCTTTACGGTTGTACACTCCTGTCGAGCTGCACTTGACAACCTCAGTGCTTTCTCGTACACGAGTGACACAGTCAACAAACGCATGATAGCACCGATTCGCGATGCCAGGAAAAAGAGGTAGTCGAGTGCAAGTAGTGCGACCAACGAGGTGCGAGTCATTAACGCTGCGAGCCAGTAACCGTTTTTTGTAGCGATCCCGTTTTTGTGGTCGTCCGAGAGTTCCAGCAGTGCTTTCATCACGTACACGTGACGTACGTCTGCACGGCCAATGCCAGCACGTAAATTACACCCCCCGTACCAACGATCATGATCTGTGATCGGAAGGTCTTCAAGTAGGCCATGAACACAGGCGAGATACTAAACATCTGCCGTTGACTTGGTTCGTACACTAGTTGAGAGCGTTTCAAGAATTTGAGGTACACACGGACTCCATGTCTTGAAGCTCCAGTACTTGACGAAATCATTGGCCGCATCCGCTGTGCTAACGCAATAAACAGCAACGAGGCAACGGTAAACGGGTTGGGTACGAGTTTGATTACGCCGCCTGTAGTCGTTCTTCAGATTCCGATACCATTGCAAAATGTTGAGTGGAGGACAGGTCGACGACAGGTACAAAAACCACAGCAAGAAAAGTCGATGAAAACCTCTTCGTTCGCGCTAGAACGAAGACACTCACCGACGAGTACTGGCACTTTTAAATACACAGCATGATCGCTGTAGCTGTTTTTTTACATACCGGACATAGTTTTTTCTATCAGATCGAGCGTGGGCGCGTTGCGCGAACACCTTACCGTTAGGTTGTCTTCGTTTAGTCGTCGTGATGGCTGACTGTATCTTTGCATGTCAATGCCCTTTTATGTCTCGAGTGGTCTGCATCTTTTCACGAGATGGGTTTTTCTTGTGTGGGACCCAGGATACGGCGGGACGAGATCATTGAACATTTTACACTGCATGTAAATCGTAACTACCAGATCTGTAGACACGTTATCGCTCCCATATGCATTGAGGTACTAAAGATTGAGGAGCACAGTTAACACGTAAACTTTTTCTCTTCGTGATCAATGCTTACCTGCAACAACAAGGGTAGAGCTCCATACCTTATCCACTCGATCCTGGTCGGTGCTGCCGATGGCAGACTCATGCAAGAATGTTTCATTTAACGTGATGACATAGACCTTGCTAAGATTTACCGCATGTACAAACATGAATGCAGTAGAGTTTTAGTAAGTAGCGACGTCTTGAAGCATGGTTTTGGCCAAAAAACTTAAGCTATTGCAATTGCTCATGGGTGACTTAAACGGTTGGTGGAAAAGCCCAATCTCTCGGTGAGGCTTTGACCAATCGAGTTACTACTAAAAGAAACTTATCTTCACCATAGATTGAAGTCGCGAAACACCAGTAGGATAAGGACGTCCATCGGATCGTTGCTAGGGGCAATCAAATCCTCTTCACAAGCACCTATAATGCGTGGATGCATGCTTGCGCAGAAGGTCAAAAAATGAAAATGAATGCTAAATCTTACAAGACGTACGTCCAAAATAGACGACGCTTTCATCTTTCGCTCACTTGATTTCCGTAATCTTTTACGATCGTAGAAAACTAATAGAATCTCGACGTTATAAACTAATATAGTCAAAGAATGCGGGATGGGACCGGCGTCCTGCGCGGGACGGGATGCGGGATTTCGCGGGATAGGACATTGCGGGACAGAGCCCCAGTTCAAGACGTGTGACTTATTTTGGGTTCCTGTCGCTCGTCCATACACAATCGATACACCAACAATTCACCAACAAGCCGAACTTTGAGTGGCGCGCACTAGCCTGTTCCATCGACGAGCTGTCTGTCACGAGCTGTACCGCACTTATTACGTACGTCACGAGCCCTCACTTGCGCTCATATTTTCCTCCTCTCCAAGCGCTTTGCAACACACTTTACATCGTCGTCTAACGTCTCTATCTCTTGTCTTAATAGAGCACAAGACACTTTCTTTTTGGTCGTTTACTGTATCTTTTGACAGTATGGACATCACTGAGTTTGAACGCGCGGTGATCACTGCGTTTCAATATGCTGCATCCAGTGCCACGGACCCGCAGTCACGGACGCTTAAGCTGCAGGCTGAGAGTTATTGTGCTGCCGTCAAGAGCCAAACGGACGGTTGGCAGGCCGAACTTCAGCTCTTTGAGCACTCGGAGCACGAACAGGTCAAGTTCTATGCGCTCCAGGCACTGCAGGAGTCTCTAGTCAATGGCATTGATGACTTTGTGGCTACGGATGTGCGAAGCAAATTGCTGATGTGGTTACAGAGTCACGTGGCTTATGTGGAGAGCAAAGCGCCGTATCTCAAGACCAAGCTGGCAGTCGTAATCACGCTGCTGATCAAAAGAGACTACCCGGAACGTTGGCCGACGGCTTTTTCAGATCTTCTTGCTTTGCTGCCACAGGGCGCATCAATGGTTGAGATGTATTTTCGCATCTTGTTGGTGATTAACGAAGAGATTGTCGAGTTTGAACCTCAGAGGACGCAGCAAGAGGCTGCTCATAATATGAAAATTAAAGATGCTATGCGTGAAGGATCGTGTATGCGGGAGAGCTTTGACGTCATTTCGCGTGTGTTAATGAATGCTGACGCAAGCGAAGTAATGCATGACCTAAGTGCTAGTGCACTCGAAATGCTGAAGTGCTACGTTAGCTGGGTGGACATCGGTCTTGTGGTAAATGACACGCTCTGGCCACTGTTAATCAAGCTGCTGCGCGACAGTGAGGCATTACGCTGCCAAGCAGCCAACTGTGTGTTTGAAGTCATCGATAAGGGGATGACGCCGGAGAAGAAACTCGCGATGCTACAGGAATTACAGATATTGGACATGTTGGCGGCACTACCTATTCGTGAGGATGACGAGTTTGCAGAGGAAATCGGGGAAGTTATCAATGCGGTTGGCGTGGAGCTGTTGACGTGCATGGACGCCTTCCGTCATACGTGTCAGGCTGATTTACTGCAGGCGAGCGGCGATATGCTGCGTCGATTGATGCCGCTCGTGTGGGAACTTTTTGCGCATGAGTCAAAAGATGTGTCGGAAGAAGTGTTTGAGATTGTGAACGCGGTAGGAGGTCCAATGCTTCGAACCGAGACACAAGCCGCTGGCAAGTTGCAGATCGAGGCAGAAGTGTTTCGACCCTCAGAGAGCATCCCACAGATTCTGAATGGTATTTACCGACAAACTCGGTTTCGTGAGGACTCAGACTCGGATGCTGCAGAATTTGAAGAGTACCGGCGCAATTTGTATACCATTTTCCTCAACGTTGTGCGTCAGCGACCGCATGACACGCTTGCTTATCTATCAAACCTGGCTCAAAGTCTGCCTGGACTATTTGGTGAGATGGATCCGCGCGATCTGGAAAGCTTCTTGTCGCTTGTGTACCGATTCAAGGAAGGGATTACACCTCTGAAAGGCGTGGCCGTATCATTTAACGAACCAACGAGCCCTTTATCGCTCATGATCGTACATATTCATCGGAGTATGCTGTCAGCGTCTGCGGGTGCTATACCACTGCATCCATCTGTGTTACTGTCGTATTACGACCTCGCTGTACGGTACAGCAAAGTGCTGCAGACTGAACCAGCACTCACACCGGCAGTACTTGAGATGATGTTTGGCTCGTTTGGGCTTTCTCATCCAGCTGCTCGTGTTCGCTCTCGAGTATGCTACCTGTGTCTGCGCCTTGTAAAGGCTCTTGGCGCCTCGGTCAACCCTCATGCGTCCAGTATCTTGACCGCGCTACAGCCATGTCTTGCGATTGTCAGTGAGCGTGATGGTGACACCAGCCAGCACACAATAACCTGCTTAACGCACGACGACCAGCTATACCTCTTCGAACTTGCCGGTCAGATTATCGCTTCGCTTGTGATACCCACACAAGAGACGGGTATAAACGTGAAGCAGCTTCGATATCGGTACACAATAGCTGTGCTAGACCCATTGCTGCAGGGATTGAATACGACGCTCAAAGAGCTGGCACAGGGTACGGTAACCGACGAAGAGTTCGCTAGTGATCACTGCGCGATTCATCTCAATGCTATCGCTCACGTGCTCAAGGCGTTCAAAAGTACTGACTGCATGGAAAACCAGCAGGAAACGTTTACACAGGTGCTCACAGCTTCAGCTTGTGTGCTTCGTACGCTCGCTCACATCCCGCGTGTTCGCTCGAAGGTGATTTTTATGCTGCACCGACTGGTTTCTGTGCTGGAGCGTGAGCATTTTTTGGGCAATGTGCAGGAACATCTGCAGACACTTATGATGGGCTGCGAGCAGGCTGAGGTTGTCGAGATTGTACAACTTCTTGACCAACTTATTATCAAGTACAAGCAAGCTTTGGGTGGATTCCTCGACAGAACAACACTGTCATTTGTGCAGCACCTGTGTACGTTGATGCCAGAACGGAGCACTTTAGCCAATGCTGAGACGAAGGACGCCCCGCAGCTCGAGCGTGAAGCTGTACAGAAGTACTTGTACACATTCTTGTTGCATCTGGTAACGCATGGTTTGGACGCCGTGTTAATCAGCGCGCACAACGTTGCGCAGCTGGAGAATGTGTTGCGTCTCGTATTGGAGGGTTGTGCGGAGGTCCAGGATGCCAATATCAATCGTGCATGCTTTTCGATTGGAAGCATGCTGGCTGAGCGCTGGATTAGCGATGGAAACGCACTTTCTCCAGCAAGTGAAGCTTCGGGTGCAGCATCGGCAGCCACATCGGCAGCATCTGTTGCCCTGCGTGCTGAAATCCACGCCGAGCTGTCGGCTGAAGGCAAAGCTCGATTCTTGCAGATTCTAGTGCAAGACTTTACGCGTGCCATGTTTGCCGTAACGAAGCTGCGTCACTTTGACGTGGAGGAAATGCAGACGATGCTGGCTGTCAAAGAGATTGTTAACATGCAGGCCGTGCTGGTAGCTTCCCTAGGTATTGAGTACTTGACGTACCTGCGTGATATATTCCTGCCATCAATTGGGTGTCCTGCTGAACTAGCGGGGACATACACGGAGCAGGTTGCCTTGGGCGATCGCAAGAAGATCCAAGTAGCGTACAAAGCTTTGGTGAGCCGGATGATGTAACAAGATAGCCAACATGGATGTTTGAGGAGAGTGAGCAGTCACAGCGAGCATAATCGTACAACGTCGGACTAGAGTCCCGTCGTTTGCACGGTTTACTCAGGACGCTCATTTTTTGTCGTCGCACGCCATGTACATCATGCTGATGGCTTTTAGAAATCGAGTGAGCGATTGATGACAAGAAAGACCAGGGGTGTGTGACGAAGCTGTTTTGGCACTATTAGGTCGTGGACCAAGCCTTCAGAAGCCTTCCCGGATACAAGGCCTTTTCGCATTTGCTTATCCTGGATGATGGATCTAGCCCAGGAGCTAGTTGCATATCCGAGGAGGCATGATGAAAGAAGATGTCGTGTCGAGATACACAACAACTATTCAGTCTCTTTTGGCTAGTGATGGCGTGCGCACAAGTGAACGAATTGGTGCTGTTGGTGCGTACTGGACTCGGAAACATGACTCGAGTGTATCACTCCATGTCGGATTACACATTCTAAAAGTTGAGGCCGAGGACTTCTAGTCGCTTTTTGCCATGATCGGGTAGAAGCATAAATGGTGATCGTCATTTGTTGAAACAAGATTGACCGCTGCAGTATTTGTGGCATGTGAATGCTGGGCTTTGACTGGTGATTTGTTCTGTTTCAATTACTGCGAGGCCGAGGACGAAGCAATTAGTGACTGTGCGCAAAGTGAATGCTGAAATTCAAACCTTATTCTATGGGTGAATGGTTGCGTGTGTAAATAACGCTAGGTGTACCTCACACATCGTAGTAAGTGCGATGTAGTCTTCTGCCTCCTGTTGTGTATCTGCCAATAATGCTAGGTATACCTAACGCGTCATGCTAGTGCGATGTAGCCTTTTGATGTCTCTATGAATAACACTAGGTGTACCTTACACGTCGTAATAAGCGCTCTGTGGCCCTTTCACCTGATGAGTCTGTGCGTACCACTAGGTATCCGATCAGTGACACAGTTTTCGTGCAACCTGATCAACTTTTAATTGTTGTTCCGAGGCCTGTGTAGCTCGTTGCAGCAACGCCACTTCGGATCGACCGGCTACTACAGCAACAATTGAGCGACCTTCGATCCCTTTAGTGCACGCTCGTTGGATCCTGCACCCCAACGTGGTAAAATACGATGCAGCCCAGATCTTATTTTTTCCGCCGGACCAATGTTACTATCAGCAGCTGCGACACATTACCTGTACAAAATACTTCGACTATTCATGTGCTATCGCTATGAGACGAGGCACCAGCTAAGCACTCGTCTCCGAGACCCCGTTTAGCGCAACTTCTCCATCGACTGCCGTCAAAAAGTCAAAATGATTAATATAATCTGGTCTATGAATTAGAATGTATATGACCCGGGTTCATGTTAGCTGGTTTGTGCATGTCGAATTTAAATTGGATAGCTTTGTAGCACTTTCTTGCTGTAAATGGAGACAATCAAAGCACAAGAATTAGTTTCGACTTCACTTTATTAATCAGGCGGTAGATTGTTTTCAAATTTAAATTCACCGACCGTCGAAATTTATATACAAGACAATATCATTGGTGGGTGGGGATAGCTTTCGAAAAAGTGGTGGCTGATAACAAGAATTGTCGAATCCTTTATTTTCGGGCTTAGTGTCTTGAGGTGCATATCATGCGATTGGTCGATCAACCAGTTCGTTCTAATTTGAGTGCTTTGCTAGCAAAATTTTGGAATGAACTAATACTCTGGGTAATGATATCCTCTCGATTTACTATTTCCACCCCCTGAAACTAAAACAGGACGTATTTACAACTGATTTAGAATCAATGTATGGAATCTGTTTCGATCGGTCCTACGCATGCCACTCACACCATGACACTGCAACTCTCAAAAGAATCTGCACAAGACTTAATGAAGTCGGGCAAGTTTTTTTATGCCAACTATCAGTTAGCAAAGGTGATGTTCGTGCCTCTTCGATAAAAAGCACACGCCTTATTTTTATAATTTAGATCTTCGAGCCCGACTACAAAAAAGGAAAATGATTGTCGTGTGCAATCGAGCGAGATCATACAATTTTTTACTGTCGAACGAAAGATCGATACAGAAAGCACATGATGCTAGTACAGAATCATATCGCGACGGAAAGATGCCTTCAAGATGTGGAGGGTGAACTACACGAAGAATCGAACAACCATGACATGCACAAAAACCTTGACATGCATACTCGTGCTCGGTGTCTTACAATTGAGAATGAGAGAGCATGTGTGCGGCCAAAAGAGCAAAGTGCTTTACTTCTACAGGAGTATCCTAACTTCTACAGCGTAACCGGGACTTATGCAATCAAAATATAAAGAAACGCAAGAGTAGTAAATTGGGGTATGCCGATTAAGCGCTGTTTAACGAGCTGCAAGTGAAAACCTACCTCTATGATCTCAGGCATGACGCAAAGGACCGTTACTGCATTCTCTTGCTAGAAAATCTTCAATCCTGGACCAGAACCTGCTCGTCGTCAACTTCCTCTTTCTCAGAAACATTGAACTCATATTGGTCAGCTCCAATCTAGAGTATTATCCATCTTTTGGACATATTGTACATCGACAATCATGCGGCGCGTAACGATATGCACCGCGCTGTGTTATTTTTTGCTTCGAAAAGCAACCCCGTTTTGGTTTTGGGGGGAATAGTAAAAATGGGAGGAGTGAAAATGTTGATACTCTACTCTTTATCGTTTCATTGGATTTTTCCCACATTTAGCGATTTCTTGTTTTACAATATCTATCTGTTTCGGCAAATACATTTTACATGATTACAGGAAGTATCACATAGCGTACCCATCTTATGGTGCCAACTCCTTAAACTAATAAATATGGTGGCATGCAATTATAGATTCAAACTAGGTATATATAAAGTCTTTTTTGAGGCTCAGTAAATGTGATATTTTTTAATGATGTGCCAATTTCAAGCTGCAATTACGAGAATTTATAGGTGATTTAGCAATCCGGGCTCAGATGGCAATGTTTGCCCTTTCTGTTGCTGTTGTTTAAGCCTCACAACCTGGCAACTAGTGGCTTGAACGATTTGCAATCGACGCTGTAAAAATTTATTTTACATGTGATATCTTTTTAATGTTTAATTTTTTTGCCTTGTACCCTTGCTCTTAGCTCTTCAGAGCACCCACGTCGTCGACCCGATTTCAAGTTGCACTTCCTCGTAATTTCAGTCGTAAATTGATCGCATTAAGGACTTACTTGACACCACCAGTACATGTCGCAAGAACATTCCCCTTCTCCCTTTCCCCTATCCTCCTTTAAAATTGCCTCTAATACTGCCTCTTTGTAAAACTCTACCTTAACGCTGCCTTCAACAGTACATCCAACACTACCTCCGAATACTACCACCTACTTTACACTATATCTATGCCCTCTTACCGAGAAAAAGGAATCCAGGGCAGCTTGAAGAGATAACTGAAGTCCTTCCTCCTTGCTGAGCTCGTCGCCTGTAAGGAGAACGGGCTCGACGCGGACGTTTCATCTTAAAAAAACTGTATGAAAACATGTGCATGAGGTTCAATGCATTCTTCGAGTTGGGATACACTCCCCAGCAGACATAGAGCTGGTATGACATTGTAAGTATAATGTTTACATTGTGACAACAATGTAAAAAAAAGCGTACAACTTAGCAAAACCTTTGTAGGTACACGACCACTTTAAGCTGTGGCAGAGTAACAAGGACAACAGTGGTTTCGGTTTCAATGAGGACATTTGTGTCCCCACCGCCCCTGACCATGTCTGGTATGAGTTCGTCGAAGGCTTGCAGAAGAAGGAAGCTCATGCGAAATTACAGAAGTTCCGCCACACCCCGCTCGAAAACCAGAAGGACAGCGAGCGCCTTTCCAAAACAAAATTGCAACAGACAGCTATGCGAGGAGAGAACGTCGCCGATCGAGAGCCTCGGAACCCGATGGTGTCACTCAAATTCTAGACGGGCTGTATAACGAAAGTATTCCGTATACCCCACTGCGCAGCGAGCACGAGCGTGCGTAAAACGCCTCCACGCTCTTGTAAAAATGAGACCCCCTAAGTCTCTTGTCGCAGCGGAATGCCTGTTCGTCTATAAAATTAGCATCTTAGGAATGAGGTGCATTTATCATTGCCGCCGAGTCACTGCAAGCGTTTACGTACTGATGGTCCATCTTTTCTGGTTGATGCACTGGACTTTGTCACAGCCGTCATGAGTGCATCGCCGGCTCCGTCAGTGCAGTTGCCGGCTGTGCAGCAAGCTCCGGAAATACTTGTCGCCATGAAAAAGTCTGGGTACCTCGAGCTATTGTGGGTTATGCCCCTTTTTAACAAGCTAATCAAAAACGAGATTTTTTTAGCAGAAGCGTTCTTTGCATTCTATGAGGATTGCTGTAAATTTTGGGTGAGCAGTGCATTAAATTAACCTTGATTCAACACAGGTCAATACGTGATACTTGCAGCATCTACATTGTCTTCTACCGATGTCGATTTTGGCGCACACAGTCCTCCCACATTCTATTGGCTATCTCGTCCCGTTGGATAGCAGCACGACGCAGATCACTGTCCGACAGTTAGCCGTTCAATGCAGATGTTAAAGCAACAACCGCAGCATCCTTCTGGAACTCAGCAAGTTCTTTGGGTCCAAATAGGACAATCTATCTCTGCAGACGACAAAATTGTGCAAAAACCACATAGCCATGACGAGATCGACCTGAGTCTCGCAAGGGTACTGGGGCGACGTTTTTCAACATTAGAAAGCACTTTTTTAAGATACGATACATTTACTCGATCGCGCTCCTTAGTGACGCGCGTTGCAGTTAAAAAGCTCCTAGCATTTTGCGGCCTGTTCGTACAATGACAGGTCAGAAAGTCACTGGAGAGAGATTTCGATATGGCTCGAAATTGACTTCGCTGGACACGATTCCATTCACGCAAATGGCATCACCCTTTACGGTTCGGTGCCAAAACCCTGCGATCGTTTTCTTAGCCGACAGCCCCCAAGTAATGGTTGTTGCGGAGAACGCGGAACTCTCGATTGAGAGCATCAGCAAGTACGCGATCGTTGTGCGCTGATCCCTCCCATTCGTCGAAGGTGTACTGGAATGAAACTTCAAAGCCACAGGCCGTGAAGACGTTCTGTGACAGGGTGTGCTTGTAATTTCGAAATCATCTATGGTCTGCAGCGGGGACGGTTGCCGGGAAGTGGGTGCCATCGCTCGCTCTGACGCATTCCTTGAAGCTCGAGTAGAACTGGTGGTCAAAATGAATTTTTGCTGGAACGGCGTTTTCATTCGGTAATTGCACAAGGTCATTGTACAGACTGACAAAAGCAGTCAGCACCAAGTAAAAATACACGCTTACAGTATCCACGGAGGGCTATAAGCGCTCCTGTGCAGCACGGTTGCTTTGGGCCTGCCTGTAAAAGGGTAGCCCGTTACATGATATTGACACCAAACGGTGTCAATAGGGACATTGTCTAGCATGACAATTTTCCTACCAACATTATCCGAGATAGATAATATTGAAGGAATATTGTCCTCTTTTATGATAATACTTATGCGCTGCTCAAAGATTGGTTGATAAAAGACATATCAACCATAGCTTACCACCAATCGCTTCTAGACGCGCGCAATGAGTGGTAAGCAGGTTGTCGTCATACGACGACGGAGTTTAGTATAGTTTGATAAGTATTGAAGTTATACTGATAGCTTAACTGTATTAAATACATTTCTCTTTTTACCCTTTACTCAAACGAGCTGTTTGAGTAGATTAGCTTCCGCTGCACGTACTAGTGTACGTGAAGTTTCGCGGCACCCCAAACAAAGGATGACCCGTTACACTGCCAAAAATGAACATGAAGATCATGAGATGTCCTTATTGTCAACGCCACTTTTATCCTTGACGATACTGCGCCGGCGGCACATAGATTGAACTCATCGAACTTGTCGATCTCCATGTGTGCTTGCTCAGCAAGAGAGTTTGATGGCCAGCGACAAGCTTTTCTACCCAACCATGGACATAGAGAGAGGATGTACGGCAGGAGTTTTTGTTGAGGCACTTGCTAGCGTATTCTGTGACAGCAGCGATGGCGGCACGGTTAAGGTGGTCGCGTGGATCCATGGCGAGTGTGAGGCACCAGACTGCACAGCTTTTGAGGTTTTGAAATATACGAGTGGGAGCAGTATATTCAGCTCCCACACATACATCGCGATATGACCGATATCGGGATATCAGATACTGAATATTGTACAGTGCGTCCGAACGCTTTGCTGTATGCGATATCGGGGAAATCGCAATATTCACTGGAAATCGCAATATCGAAAGTGTGTCTAAATGCAATCTTACGAATGAGATCAAATTTAGGAAATTTTATTTTTATTTAGAACTCGATGGGACTCGCGTAAAAAATCGACATAACTACATCAAATAGACGTACAATTCGCATTTTTGTAATGGATCTATCACCTTTTTCCTTTGCGCTTGAGAATGATGCGCGTACATGAGGTGATGTTATCGAGTGAGATTAAACATAGTTGGACAATAAAATCTATTATTTCAATCTTACGGATGAGGTTGTTACAATAAGAAAGGTCTATTTATTTCGGGCACATCAACCTGCCAACATTATCTAAGTATATTTTTTTCCGGATTTGTCCGTAATAATCAGGACAACAACCCACTTGAAACGACAAAACGGTGGGTCGGAAGGAAGTGTGTGCAACAACGTGGTAAGGGACCGCGTTATTACACTTTTGGCATCACATCGCATAAAGGATTTTGTTGAATGCTTAGATCATCGTTGAACGTGATTAGGCTTCTCGTTTTATTTCCAAAGCCACCCGAAAAGTCGTTTCACAAGGTAATGTTTTTACCTGATTACTATACAACTAGCCTCTTGTGTACAGCTCGGTTGCAGCACCACATGTTTTGTAGCAGACTATACAATCATAGTCCCTTTTGTACTGCTTGTTGCCACAACCGACTCAATTTTATAACTCGACCGCGGGTACGACAGCGTGCGCATTCATTTTCGATTTTTGCGCCGTCATATTTTCTCAGAGCTATACCTTACGGTAAGACCGATATAGAATAGGTCGCTGTGGCTAGTGATAAAGTGCCGTGAAGTTGCATTCTCACAACGCTACTGTTCGTCACGTTTGTCTCAATTGCGCAGCCTTAATATTGTCACCGTTTAAATTTGTGAAATTGCATGACGATGCGTGCTTAAAAAAGCAATAAACAAGAGCGACCGTGATGCGTCGGCAATATAGTGGCCTTACACTTTAGTTGAAGTGCCAAAATCCAATAAAATCGGATCGTAAAAATATTTGTAAAAAACAAAAAAGGAGCGGCACTGATGTAAAAATAGCGAAAATAACCGGGTACGGGGCACAAGCGAGCATTCGAACGTATTACAAGAACTTTTCGTCATCGACGTTCGGCTTCCTGCGGTTCAGCTGGCGCTTACGCGAGTGGTAGTTGTCCTGGTGGTGTTTCCGCTCGAATGGCTCCTGGCTTGACCCGTCTTCATGCAAGAGAGCACGTTGTTGCTCGGCGTGATTGGGCAGCATAAGATGCGAAGGCACGTCCTTCATAATTCCCTTGGCACGTATGTTCATCCACTTGCGAAAATTCCAGTACGGCGCTCGCTCGGGTAGCTCCAGCGCGATACGCAGCGCGTTGTGCCAGTCGAGGCGGCTCAGTCGCTTGTTCATCTGCATCATCTGCATCGTAAGTCGCACCGCTTCGCGCGGATTCTTGCGCTTCTCATCATAAAATTCGATAGCCTCGCGGTAGCACACAGTCGTCTTTTCCATGCGCTTTGCATTCTTCTGCAGCATTTGCACAGCAGTCTCAACAGCACCGCCTCGAATGTAAGCCAGAATCAGGCACTGATAGGTCACCGTATCCCATTTCATCCCCTGCTTTTTCATCTCGTTGGCAAGAGGGTGAATCTTCTCCAGTTGATTAGTCCCCAGCAGCGCAATGAGCGCCGCGTTGTATGCGAAGAAGTTGGGCTGATCGTCTTCACTCTGGCGAGCTTTGTACTTATGAAAGATCTCCAATGCCCGCAGTTTCAGTTCCTCGCTCTCGGCCTTGGCGTGACCCATGACAACAGAGCCCAAGTATACACCGCGCAAACTCTCGCGAAGGTCTTCAGGCATACAATCATATACCTCGATGACCGTGTCCCACTGCTTGCCCTTGGCACATGCCGAAAACACCGAGTTATAGATCGTGGCTGTCGGCTTAAAGCCACTCTTCTGCATCATATTCATCGCATCAAGCGCAAGCTCCCACTTGCCTGTCTTACCCGCACAGATAGCAAGTGAATGGTACGTCGATTGCGTCATCGTCAACTGCTGCTCGTGAATAGCCCGTAGTACACCCACTGCACTATGCACATCTGCAGCACGTGCACAGCTATTAAGAATGTTATTGTAAATGATGATGTTCATCTCCAGTCGGTGCTTAATCATATCGTCAAAGATCTCGAGCACGAGTTCGTGCTGATTAGACTTGAGCGCGGACGACAGCGCGTGCGAGTACGTCACCGTCTGTGGCAGGTACCCGTCGTTGCGCATGACTTCAAACACACGCAGCGCGTGGCCAAACTGCTCTTCTCTGTAGCAGCAGCCAATTGCACTCGAGTACGCCTGGATGCGAGGACGGATACCTTGCTCACGTGCATAAGCCAGCACTTTCATGCAGTCTGGAACACAATTTCGTATGCCGAGGACTTCCACGAGGAACGACGCCACCTCGAGCGACAGTCCTCGACCTTTTGACTGCTGGATCTCGTGGAAAATATCCAGCGCCGTGCGCCGCGCAGCTGATCCGTTGGAAGTGTCCAGTGCCTCTTCAAGCCGCGTCATGTACTCGTCTTCAAGTCGTTCATTTTGAATGAGTCTCGTGTCTCGCGTCTGTGTGTCGTTGTGGCCTTGTTTAGTGTCGTGGCCTTGTTTCCTGTCGTGGCCTTGTTTCCACCCCTGTCCCTTTTTTTCTGCTGCTTCGTCTTCTTCCTCCTCTTCCAACGCCGTTGCACTGCCACTTGAGTGGGCGAACGATCGAGCGCCGGTCACAGTCGACGCGGACGTCACTGCGAACCCCCGCGAGTGGATTCCCTTCAAGTGCCATGGCCTATAGCTTGCCGTTGTCTCGTCTGCTGCCGCACACAATCTATGAAAAGAGGGAAAAGAACGAGACACTGGTGGCAATGACGTCATCCGCGTCATCTCCTTCGATGCGCGCAAGAGACAGCCATGGCGCGCGCACGCGCGTCCTCGCTGAACCAGCATCAGATACGGACGGACGGGCGACGGCTGCTGCTGTTTGAACAGCGACCGAATGACAGGCTGGTACAAAGCACGGGTAAAATCGGGACCGATCCTAGTTTAGGCTTTTGAAACAAGTAAACACGAATTCAAAAAAGCAACCCCTAATCCCTCGATTCCGCATTGACTTACCCTTCCAACACCAACGACAACCAGAAACGCGCATTGATTTGACCAAGAAGCGAAGAAGAAGAAGAAGAAAGGAAAGCTCGCTGTGCGCTCGCCATGGGGAACATGATGAGCATGGGGGGCAGCCCGGCAGCAGAAGGCGACACAAGCGCGCTCAATCTGTACGCTTCTCGTCTGTCAGAGGCCGAAATCCAGCGCTACACGGACGGATATCGCCGCATCTGCCGCGTCGAAGCCACCAGCTCGTCATCTTCTTCTCTATCGTCTTCCAGTGCGCCTGTCCCTTTTCTGCACGGCGGTAGCTCTTCTAATAATAGCAGCAATACAACAAGAGACGCCAATCCAATTACAGGAGCTGGCAACGCGCCTCTATTAGAGAAGAAACTGTTCCGCAACAAGGTGCTCGGGGCGTTCACTATGATCCCGTACTCGCTGTCCGACCGTTTGTTTGAAGTGCTCGACACGGAGCGCTCGGGGCAGCTCAGTCTCAAGAACGTGCTGAGCGGCTTGGCGTGGCTCAAGCACGGCACGAGGGACGAGCACGTGCAGCTGCTGTTTATCATTTACGACCTCGAGCGAGTCGGCGAGGTCTCGCGCGAAGTTCTGGACAGGTTTATGGACGTTATTTACGGCCGGGAGCGAGCGCGACAGGGCTCGACCGTCCAGTATCTTGACCGAGTTTTTGACGGTCGAGCTGCTGTGGACTTTCACGAGTTCCGGCAGATGGTGCAGGAGAAAGATGCACATGGAGACGCTCTGCTAGTCAAGTGGCTGACAGTACTGGCAGATAAGATTGGTGCTGCAGACGATCCAGAGATCGTGGCGCTTGAGCAAACGTATGACCCGGTGTTTATACGTCAACGGATTGTACAAACGACCGTGTTCTCGTTACTGGAAGTCACAGCTTTGGAAAAGCAGTTTCAGCAGAAATTCCATGCAAAAGGAGGAGCAGGTTCGAGGATACCGAGTTGTCAATTTGTTGAGGGGCTAAGTGCCAACGGACTATTTCCCAAGGACGTGCTCGAGAGATTTGGTACCTGTACAGCACTACCGAGCTTTGTGCAGTTTGACGAGTTGTGTCAATTTCTGTCGGATTTCTGCCGCGGCGTTTCGAACGATGATAAGGTGCATCACCTTTTTCACATTTATAGTGATCAGAGCACGAGAGCGCGCGTGGACGTTGGCGCGATGAAGGATCTCATCCACGTGGGTATGAATTGTGATACGAGTGGCTCAAATGTAAAGACGAAGCGAGAAGAAGACCGACATGTTGAAGAGGTAGGATAGTACAGCTTGCAGGCCGCTATTTGCACTAACACGTTTCGTGCTTGGGTGGATCTATTTTGCAGATTTTTGCATCACCAAGAGCGGAGATGGGATGGGACCACGAAGCGTTTACTAGTTGGGCAACTGAAGTAGTCCCGGTACGGCGGCTGCTTCATCAGCTGGCGTTTGCGGCGTGTGTGCTCTTTGATCTGAAGCCAGAGGCAGCCCAACTTGAAAAACGAGTTGTGGAGTGGCACTGGCGACAAGCCACGCACAGCTTTGGCATCGGACAAGTGCGTTGTTATGTTTTGAAGTAGTCGACATCATTGCTTGTTGACCCACGCAGGTGCACGCTATGTACCGTTTTGTCTGCTTAGATTTGGAACTTGGTGGGAGCCGAATGGTGGCGAAAATGGTGCGACTATGTTAACATGGATCCGAGAAACGGGAGCCCGTACGGTTCATTGCCTGTGCCACCAATCCCGCCTGATGTCGTCGTAGAAGCCGCCAAGAACATCCGGGCCAATATTGCGTTGCGGGTCACCAGCTCGAAGAATAATGTTGGTAGCCACCCACCTCGACCCGGGCCAATTACTAATTGGAGTCTTCTTATGCAAAGTGGATGCCGGAGGCTGAAGCAGAATCTAGTGTTGGCGCGTGACTTTCATGTAGGTACTCTCTTTGTTTGTTCAGGGCGTTGTGCAGGTTTCTTTCGGTCTAACAGTTTGTGTTTGTAGATGATTCCGTTATCAGTTTACACCCTTTTACTTTCGTGGTACAGCGGAGGACCTGACTTGGTACGTTCGATCGTAAAGGCCCCCACAAGCACGGAACTCGACTTTCAAGTCGAATTGTTTCCGCTAGTTTTACGTGTCGCTCGCGTGGATTCTGCGACTGGTAGCGTGATTCGATCAGGAGAAGAGATTCTGCTCAGCAAATTGAGCACCCCGGCCAGCCTCCTTGAGGCTACTTGCCGCGTTCTGCTTTTGGCAAAGCTTATTGACAAAGCACGTTTGTGGTACTTCAACGAGACATCACCCGAGCGCAAAATGCGCTTGCGCGACGAGTATCCTCTTGAGTTGCAAAAGCTGACACAAGACAGTGTCTTTTTGCTCGAAATCCAAGATGACGACGGATCGTGGCCACTTTCTCAAGCCGATAATACGGTTATATCGTCGGCATCCGACACCGCTGCCCATCAGCCAACCAAAGCAAAAGGAAACGGTCGAGCAAGTGAAAACGATGCCGGTGCAGTTTTGCGGAAACGAGAGCACCGTCCATCGTCACGAACGTCTGATATCTGTTCCCGCGGCAATCTAGGGGAGGTGCTGGCACAGCGTGGTGCGTATGATTTTGCAATAGTAAGAAATGTTGTGGTATTGACGAATGAACGTAATCGCACAATATAGGGCCCGGTGGTGACGTTGGTTCGCCGACAGTAGAAGTAGATCTGGTGTCTTCTGTCGTAAGAAAACGTTTTTCGGAGGACGCGTTCAAAGGTCCTGGTTTGGTTGGTCTCGACAACCTTGGCAATACGTGCTACATGAGTAGTGCTCTGCAATGTCTAAGCCACACACGTCTGCTGGTCGAATACTTTAAGAACGAGGCATACCTCAACGACATTAATTTACGAAACCGTGATGGCACCAATGGAAGATTGACTGCAGCATTTGGCGAATTGCTTCGAGTTCTCTGGAGTTCCGACCGCAAACGTTTTGCTCCAAGCGAGTTCAGAAAGATACTTGCAAAGTGCAGTCCGCAGTTCGCTGGGTCAAACCAGCACGATTCGCAGGAGCTGCTTGCATGTTTGTTGAGCAGCCTCAGTGAAGATCTAAATCGTGTGGTAAAAAAAACCTACACCCAGCAGCCCGATAGCGACGGGCGACTCGATGCTTTGGTGGCAGAAGAGTGGTGGCAGAATCACCAGAAACGTGAGTTGTCCGTAATTGTCGCACTATTTACCGGTCAGTACAAGAGTTTGTTGGAGTGTTCGATTTGCCGGTATGAGTCGGCTCGATTTGAGCCGTTTACCTTCCTGCAGCTTTCACTACCCGAAAGCAACGCACGGTCGATTGTGCTGACAATATTCTTCCGTACCGATCGTGTACCTTTGCGCTTTTCAGTGCGAGTGCGAAAGAGTGGTACAGTTCAGCAGATAAAAGAGCAGGTAGCTGCATTTTTGACAGAAGCGGACGATGGAACTGTTGATTCTGATACAGTCGAGGACAAAGCAAGTTGTGCAACTGTGTCTGATGGTGGTGACAGAAGGGCAAATGTGGTCATTGCACGCACCTCGAGTTTACGCATTGTGGAATCCCTTTTGGATGGTAATCTACCACTGACCCAGATTCGTGAAAAGGATGAGCTAAGTGCGTTTGAACTTGATCCCGAACTGGAATTATGTGCTCCACAAGTTGTTGCTGGGTCTATTCATGCATCAGGTAATCTGGCGAGTGATCGTGCTGACCAAGCAGCACTTGTTGAAGGTTTGTGTGAGAAAGAAACAGCACAGGAGAGTATAAAAGGTTTAACGGAGGAGGATACTGCAAAAGTTGACAGTAAAGCTTTTGTTCACGGAACCCTTCCTACAATTGGAGGAGATCAGAGTGTTGCTGAAGACGATGAAAACAAGCAAGATGATGATCTCTTGCCACCCGGAACGTCTGTCTACGTTTGCATTGACAAAACGAAGCGTGCGGTGGCAGCGCGCGTGACTGGCAGCAGTGTCAAGTCAGGCACAGTTAATGTCGCGTATCCATCCGGTGCTCGACGGTATCATATTCCGTATTCAAAAGTGGTTGAACGTCGTCAAGATGATGCGTTCATATTTTTAGTGCATCGCTGCATCGATCGGTCGAGTGACAATTTCACCAACGCGCATGCGACGCGACTTTTTGGTGCGCCGTTGGTCATCCGTGTATCTCTCCGAGCAACGACAGTTTATGACCTCTACCTTCTCGTCTGGAATCGATTGCGGCGGATATTTAATTGGCATCAACCCCCGCTCTCGTCCGATATTACAGTAGATAGGTGCGCTCAGAGGCGAATTCGGACAGATGCGTCTTCGTTGGCTCTCGGAGCACACCTTTCTTTGACGAAGTTTGGGTTTTGCTTGCGGCTTGTCACGTCGCATGGAATAGGGTGCTCCCGCTGTGAGTGGATCGACGGGTGTTTGGGATGCGTGCTGTTGCCATCATCACAGAGAGTGGTTCCACTCGCAGCGGAGGAAACGGTGGCGATAGACTGGGATATCCGTACCCTCAAGAGGGAATACGACCCAATTCAAGCAAGTCAACTAGACTGTGATGCGTCCGTTCAGCAGCATCAGCGACAAGACAACCAGCCCCTTAACCTGGCACATTGCATGGAAATGTTTACCGCTAAAGAGACTATTCCTGAGGCATACTGTGGTCACTGCAAGACTTTGCGCCCTGCTACAAAGAAGATGGATTTCTGGCGTCTGCCGCCACTGCTTGTTATCCAGCTGAAGCGCTTCTGTTTTACTCAAGTGTCGCGGCGAAAATTGCACCATCTCGTAGACTTTCCGCTGAAAGGCTTGAAGTTCGGTGATTATGTTGCTCGGAAGCGTGGTCCACGTAGTCGACTGGCAGGCCTCGAATATTGGTTATTTCTGGGTGGCAAGCTCAAGGCAGAACCAGACGCCGAAAAGTGTGAAACCTCAACGGTCAGCGGAACTTTGAAGCAAGCAAGGCCAGCGTTTCCACGGCGAATCTCGTCATCAGCACTAGATGCCCCTGCTGCTGCAACTGCTGCAGTACGTGATGATGACAGATTTCTGTACGACTTGTATGCTGTTGTGAATCATGTGGGTGCTTTGGGAGGAGGCCACTATTTTGCTTACGTGCTGAGCGACCATGACGGAAAGTGGAAATGCTTCAATGACCATCAATGCAAGGACATTGACGAGAAGGAGGTTGTGTCCTCGATGGCGTACATTTTGTTTTACCGTAGACGGGACACCGCTCACTTGTCGATCGAGCAACTCTTCCCACCTTTACCGGACGATCCATCTGGAAATGGGGCAGTCACCGACGAGGAGGCTGCAAGCAATAAAGCACAGGTGGAGGAGTTGCTGCAACGGTCGAAGTTAACTGCTTCAGACAGCGCGAGCAATTGCATTCTTAGTTGATGACATGAACAAATATTAGTAAAAGACGTTCGCGAACATTCATGGTGGCGCTGTTATGTACACTGTCGGTTGACAAACGTTGAGCAATCAACGTCAATACCACTCAACGGCCATGGAGCAGAGAGCGGGCCGCGAGTAGGAAATACTGAATAAACGGCAGTCACGGAGACAGCGTTTTCCTGTAAATGTCAGACTTGTCCCAAGCTCGTCCGGATCTCGCACTTTTGTCCCGCAGACACAGTGTCGATTTGGTGATGAAATACTCGAGCACATGTCCCCGGCTGTCTTCGTCTGACGACCCAAACAATCCGGATGCCTCACGGTCCGAAGCATCGCACGACACGTATTCTACCCACGCACAGACAGAAAGTTCGGGTGCAGTCATCGGGGTGTCGAGAGAAGACGAAAGTGATAACGCTGGAACTGAATACGGCCAGCGCTCACGCAAAAGACAAAAGACCGAGCCAAATGAGTATGAAGCGCAGATCAAGAAGCTGCAGCAAGATATTGCCGAAGTGAAGGAAAGGCTGAGTTCGATGAGCAGCCAATGCTCAAACACGGCTTATGAGCTAGTGAAGAAATGCGTGGAGGCGAAACAAAAGGCTGCCACTATGAGGAGGAAGCTCGCCGAACACAACCACTGGCTGCAACGAGTCAGTAGCTTGATGGAGACAGCACCGCTTTTCGAGTATGCTGTCGACACGAGTGAAGGGCAGTCGGAAGAAATGAAGAAGGACGCACATTTGCATCAAAGTTTTGAGGTACTGGACGAGCCGCAGGGACAACCGAGGAGAAAGCTGTACCCTCGATTGCTCTTCGGTGAGCGCCTGCATGCCGCAGTGATTGTCTCCCAGGACAATGTGTCAAAACTGCTGCACGATGCATCGGTCAAGGCACCATCGTTTCATTTGTCGTTGGAATTTGAATCGCACGGGTGGAAAATTGCAACGGGAACTCTTGTGAGCGATCACATGGGATTCTCTTGTCATCGCTTGCTAAGCAGTGGCGCGGATGACAAGACGAAAGATGTGGCGATGGCGTTATGGAACTTCGTGGAGTGCGATGAAATTTTCAGAACATTCGTGCCGCTCGTTCAAGCCTCAATCACTACTTACCAGGAGACGAACTGCTCTCTTTCATGTCGAGTGATACAACTTTCCCAGGAAATGAAGCAGCAGGCGGTAGCAACTGTCGAATCGATCAGCTCGACTCGGGATAATAATGGACAAGAGAACTCGTGGCAGATTTCCCTGGAGGCGGTGCACGATCACTTCCTGTGCACATTCGTAGCAGATGCATCTGCTGATGCTGCCATGCCGAACAGCGCTCCACCAGTCAAGCTTGATCTCGGACTCCAAATGAGCAGAGTCAATATGCACAACAAGTTTATCATGGGTGCGCGAGTGACCAAACTGGATGAGGGCGTAGACATCTTGGTTGCAGGCTCAGCGCGGTTCGACCTTCCATGCTATAGCGATCCCGCCTTTGACTTGCTGCAGCACTTCGTGTCGCACTTGCCTGTGTACGAAGATCTTTATTTAACACCGCTAAATGATAGTCAAGCGACTGACGTACATGAACTGTAAGTCAATCCATGGCTCTGATGTGTTTCCCAGCTCGTGTCGGTAGTGCTCTAAGCATTGTGCCTGCTCGTCTAACCCGTCTCCGACCGTCGTTTGCCTTTACATTTTTTCAGCTCAGAGGTCTCCTCATTGTCTTCCCAGTGCCTTGAGAAGGCAGCTAAAGTGGCTGGACAGACGAGCGGTGTGATCATTGTTCTTGTTGACTCGGCCAACGTTTGCGAGAGCCATGCCAGGAGGACATGCATGATGTCATGGTGTAGCTCGCTCAGGTCGACAAGTTCCTTTGCGGCAATTTCAAAAAGCGTGCATCGGCCGATCGCTGAAAACGAACCTCGTGCAGTCGCGTTGGGCACAAAAGCCTGGACAAATAGCAACGTACAACGCGTTGGTTAGCATGCATAACAACTGGTTTTACATACACCCGCAAAAGCGATTTACCTCTGCTCCAAAACAAGCGCCGTGGTGGAGTTTGATTGAAGTGGGCATGGCCGATTTCGAGACAGCAGCACCACATTCACCTTGGGAATTCGTCATCTCTATTGTACCATCAACGATGACATGTACAAACTCCACCTTCGTGTCGCTGGAATAGAGCAGGTCACCATGATTAAGTACCATGACTCGTGATAACTGAGCCACCAACGCGACCTTGTCGTCGTCGAGGTTTCGCATTAGGTGAGATGTCTTCAAGTGAATGGATTTCTCGAACGTTGTGTAGACGGCAGGGTCTGATAGCATGAGCAATCCTTTCGATGGTGGCGTACCGTAGCGTGATCTCCGTTCTCTCAGTTGTGAGTCGCAAAAGCTACGATGTCTCTCCCTTTCCCCTGACAGCAATGGCGGTATTGAGTGAGACGTGGTCCGTGATCGACCAACGTTATACAGAAACGATTTAGTTGCGCGATCGACGTAGAGCGCCGCTTTCATTTTCGTTGAAAGGGCCTTCGTCATCTTGAACATCGGGTGGTCCGCGTCGCTATTCCAACGCAATGTCGCTGTGGTCAGTGAACTTCTTCGGTCGCAAAGAGGAAGGCTTCCTGATTGAGCAATCGTATCAAGTGGCTGGGGAACAGAACAAGTTTAGCCACGATGCTAATATACGATGCGACACACAAAGTGAAATTGCACCTCAAGGTAGAGCAGTTGAAGCGAAGAGGCCACCGCTTTCAGCACACCTCTCGATACTTGCGGTTTTTGCTTTATCAAGGCATCAAGATCTTTCCGCGATATACTGAGAAGGATGCAATCTTCCATCGCGGTCGCAGAGGAGATGTGGGTTCCAGTACGAAGCGAGTGTTGCATCAGGGCAGCTTGTCCAATGCATTTGCCAAACCTTAACTCCGCTAGAACTCGTTGCTGCTTGTGAAGCTGTACAGTACCTTTGGCAACGACGTACATGGCTGAAGCTGCAGACAAGCATATTGATATCAACGCATGCCGAATGGCGAGATGAAAGACAAGATATGCAAGCTCCTCTTACCGACATCACCCTCGATCACGAATGTTTCTCCCCGTTTCACAGTAATCGGAGTGAAATGATGCGAAATAACTCGCAGAATGTTAATCGCACAAACGTTCTCGAAGAGCGACGACGCGCGAAGACAGTTTGCCACCTGCAGTTAAGGTTAATGTCCGAGTCATCCTATTTATAACAGCGGGTAGAACGAACGTACCGCGATTCGGGAAAGAAGCGGAGGCTCGCAATCTTTTAGATGGACGAGAGACTCGTACGAGAGGACTTCTGGACGGCTAGCAAGGTTCAGCAAGGGGTCGTTAGTAACTGAGAAAATCCACCGATATGCAAATGAGCCTATCGTACTTGTGATAGGTCTCAACCAACAGTTCCTTCGTTAACTCGTGACTGAGCAGACTTGGCACGACATGGTCCAGAAATGCCAATTTTGCCGCATCATCGAGGTGTTCAGCATGGTCGGCAGCAATATGAAGAAAGTACTGAAGAGCAAGAGCTGACAACTCTAGATTCGATTGCTGTTGCTTCATGACATCCAACAAAATGTCGACTCCACCTTTCTTGCCAAATAACTCGACAATGCCTTGCATCATCTATGCACACCAACTGATTAACACCATGTAGCGGCGAAATAAAATACTTGCAAACAGACCTTCGACGCTGCTTTTGTCGATGGCAATTTTGGGAATAGCAAAGGGAGCACCAGTCCTTTGTAGGGCGTAGGAAGCAGATTTTCGAGCACCTCCTGCCGATCAAAATGCGTTCAAACCCCAGAACGAACCGATACGGACAAAACACAACACTATACCTGAATGGCAGAATGCACTTGCGCCATATCCGGCCGCAAGCCTTCGAGAATAACTGCAACATCGAACTCTTTCGGGAATCCCGTTGCAAGTAGCTTAAGCAGTAACCGAAGCGTATCGTTCAGACTATGTTCCAAGTGCTGTAGCAACAGTGGGGACGTTTCCTCAATGTTTGTCGCAGTGCGTGGGCATATCTGGAAAAAGAGTTCAAGAACATGATGCGTTTTGTGCGCCTCGCGGATCTTAGTGCTAAGCGCGTAGTGAATGGGCTCCATCCTCTGTGAAAATGAACTCATCGTCTTTTCGTCCATCGATCCAATCTAAACACCGATCATGCTCACACTATAATTATGATGCGTCCACACTATCGACACAGCAGTATAACTTACCAGAGATAGCAGAGCGTCTACGACCAGCTCTTCCATGGCCGCATCTGTTCCAAACAGATTATGCAGAACGTCTTTGTTGCTGGCTTCGTCTTTTGGTAAGCCAGGTTCCACCAGCAACGCCTCAAACAAGCGCAGTAAGAAATCCAATTTGTCTTCCACCGGAAAATTTGCACTGCCAAGCACTTTAAGTACACCGGCCAGTGCCTCTCCCTTGTTGTGGATCTGGTCCGAAGCTAGCTCACTGCCAACAGTATGTGTGGGTAGTTGGAGCATCGCTTCCGTATACTGGCACAGCGGTTTCCATAGAGCAACCGGTTCAAAGCTCTTCAGAGCTCCTACGATTTGGGCGCACAACACTGGGTTTGAAAGGTGCTTCATCAGGGCCGGGATAAGCATCCTAGAGCTGCGAGAGCTGTTTGAGCAACACTGAACGGCTGCTTGGACAATCTGATTCGACGAGTGATGAAGCAAGTACACCAGGAAGCCATCACCCATCAGTTCTGGTAGCTCCTTGCCGATGATCTTTAACCCAATCACTCGCACCTCCAGAACCTATAAAAGTAAGCGTCACTGTAAGATCTCGTGATGCATCAGCTTCTAAAAGGTGATGCCTACCTTTTCTTCGTGCAGCAGTCGCTGGAGGATTAGATTCGCTTCTTTATCCATCCAGTCTGACAGACGCAGCAAAGCCACCGCAGCACAAATTACGACTGATTTGTCCGTTTCGCCACTGTGAAGTAGCTTACGAAGCATCTCAAGGCACCGATCTGCATTCACATCATATTTTTTGTAGCCACAAGCCAGGATTGCTGCGAGTCGTACTTGGCGTGGCACCGCAACAGATGAGTCTTTGACAAGCATCATGAGATCCATTGTGTTAAAGATACCACCAGAAAACGTGCTTGCGTCCGGAAGCAAATACGATTCTTGTGCATTGAGCACGAACTCTCGCTTTGCTGACGTATGAAGGTTCAATAGGCGCAGTTTAGTGTGCATCGGTGTGAGTAGCACATCATCCTGGTTTTTCTTGTAAAAAAGCGTTCGTAGTTCCTACAGTACAACGGGTCTTAGCATAAATATATGCACTCGCAAACAAAAGCCCTAACACACCTCACCCGATGAAAAAGGCTGATGTGCCCGTGGGATAACAAGCTCAAAACGAAGCTGGCTTGGTGCTGTTCTCCGTTCACCAACATTTCCTTCACTAAAGCAATCTACGTTCACACCAAGAAAACGGCAATTTCAGTACCCCCAATCGGTGCGCGACAACCTTGACTTTTGCCAGCTTGTACCTGGTCCGGGGTAAAGTCAATGAGAGGCGAGGTCAAATCCAGATATCCCTGCCGTAATGAAGCGTAAAATTCGGATGTATAAGACCGCCGAGCTGCTAAAGCGGCAATGAATGAGGCTGTGGACGTTGCAATCATTATAGTGCTAGGCTCAGACACACATATCAGGGAACCGTTTTCGGTTAGTCAACAAGGTAAAATCTCCACATCTTTTTACCTTGAAGAAGATGCCCCAATTGACTGCACGACTAGCTCCGCTTTTAGAAACATTGAGAGCACTGCACCGATAATTCGAGACACCGAGCGGAACGGACCGCACACGAAGTTCTGGAAACGCCCACGCTCGTTCTCGCTTACTGGTAGCCACAGCAACTGTCTTGCTGGATTAAAAATTGCCTGTGACACGGCGTTGTAAAGTGCTCGTGTAAAGATCAACGATTGGACGGACTATTCACATTAATAGAGCCACAAATTCGGTCCAAAAGTCAGTGATATAGGGTACCATAGAGCTCACGCAACAAGCAAGTTATCCACGAGCCACACCGTCGAAATAGAAGTAGAGGCCCCAAACAACAATGTGGTCACTGGCAGCATTGCAATGCCATACATGACACCAAAATGTGTAAAAAATGAACCCGACAGGAGTTGCATCGGTATCATTAGAAAACTCTGCAGCCCGTTGATCAGCGACAACGAGGCCTGCACCTCTTCTTCCGGCTGCAATGATAACACCGACAGCGTCACATTGTCCACTAGCACCCGCATGACTGTTGCTACCATGTCAAAGAAGCAAATGTACTGCAAGTACGTTCTAGCCTGGATATCACTGATGATCGCCATCGACGACATCGAAGCTGTCGGCACTCGATTCTGAGCCTGACAACCTCTTTTCTCTCCTCCACCCAGTTGTTCAACGTCAACAGCGGTAAAGCGTTCCACCGAGACGAGCAAAACTCCAGCGACGACAAGCAGCACTCCAGCCGAAACCAACAAGTTAAACTCGGTCGGCAAATGTCGGCTTTGAAGTGCCGGGAGGACCACAAAACTCGCCAAGAGGGTGCCACAAGTCGATCCGAAGGTAATTACGCCAAACCACTTTTTAGATTGGGCCACGTCGAACGCTTGCGCGCAGAGATCCCAAAATTGCTGAGTCAGCCACTGGGTCGCCACTTCCAGCCACAAATAGATCAGGACCGAGGTCGCACGAGCCAATAAGGGCGCAGCAAGGGACAAGAGGGTTAGGGCTAAAAGAACCGATCCTAGACTAAGCGGGCTGATGGCGTAGAAAACGCCTGGACGAACTCCTTGGGCTTTTAGCTCGGCCATTAATTGTGTCGCGGACGTCAGAGCGTACGCGGTGGTCAGTGACAGCGCCAGCGTGAGTGCAGCGACACTGGAAGCTGCATAGGACCGCAGGAAAATGGCGTCTCGGGAGATGGCGCCTAGCACGCTGGCGCAGCACTGCAGCGTCCAGAGCGCACCGAAGAAACACACTCGCCGCAGCAGCTCCAGGTCGTCAACCATCGCGTGGTTGGGAGTGATTCAATGTGTCGTGGGGGCGTAATACTGTGTCGTCAAGTGTGTGACGTTTTGGAAAGATATTATCAAATCTGAAAGTAATTACAAAAATGGAGATGGTAGATTGACCACACGACTGTAAAAAGGGTGGTCAGTCAACAAAAAGGGACAGCACGACATGTACGACCGAACGTGTGTGCTGTACGCACGTTGCACATCACCATCTTGGAATCGTAATCATGCAGGCAATCACATCATGGGCAAGTCGGCTTAGGCACCACCGCTGTATGTATTATACTTTTTAGCCTATACAGCAAAATGGCAAATATCCTCGCATCTTTGAGACGGTAACGATTAGAACCGCCCCGCCACAAACACAGCAGGTACGTCAATTCTGCTCTTCGTGTGTGACTCTTCGGTATGTCATCAAGTGTAGACTCAATGCACCAACAAGAAGGCGTCAAACTCAACTGAACGCAACTATGCGGTGTTCAGAGACATTAGAGAAACAGTTACAAAATTGGTTGGTAATCCATACATCGGAAAAGCAAAAACTAGTCATTTTTTTACGGCTGCATTTGCATGTCGTAGTCCGAGAGCGTGCGATCGTCTCCAAGTTATCTGCTAGATTCAACGCTGTTGGCTAGGTACAACGCTTTTCCATCTAGAGTGATTTTGTGATAAAATGTCAATATTTGGGTCCGATTGTCTTATTTCCGGCGTGACGGCTGCTCGTCTGAGTCTTCACAGAGATATGCTTGAGTGTCTGCGACAGCACCAACGATTTCGTGTCAGCTTCCGACTTTTTATGTATCATTGCGTCACCTTTTGATCCGTCAACTTATGCTGCGTACAATCGTTTGGACATCGACACAGCATTTTAGTGCATCATGTTGACATCGAACTGTCTCTACATTTCTACACTGAGCAATTACGCCACAAGGGATAGATCGGTCAGGGGCCAGCATACAGGAAAAGTGATAGAAAAGAAAAGCGATGGAAGAAACGTAGTTTTACAGATGAGGGCTAGACTTTATGGTAGATGTACGCACGAAGAAAAACGCACCATTTACCTCCTGCAAAGACTGTCATCAAAAGAATTCGCATAAGTTTCCCACCGATTAGGAAACAGCGAAAGTGAGACGATTTCCGTAGACAAATAGGTGTTCGTGTGTGTAGTACTAACTAACTTGTATATTTGGATAGTTTAAGGGCATTGTACAATACACCCCACTTTTCACCTAATACATACCATACACCACACCCAGACTACACCACAATCTGGTTTGTACGACGGATGTTATGCACCCTCCCACCTCTATACGACCACTATCGCACACCGGTCGGCATCTGTCGTGTAAATGGAATGTGACTTACCAATAAATCTTTTTTTGACAGGCAATGACCTGGTCCTAACGCAGATCCAGGAAAGATTCAATCAGAAATTCGAATAGCCGTTTAATACATTTTATTGTACTTCAAGGTAATTTGCCGTTGCGACGGACGTATCCGATTACATTCGGTGAAACGTGAACCTTCGTTGCATTCATTTTTGTACATTTCTCGAATAAACATGGTTTTGCTATTTGTAGATAAGCAAATATCAAACCAGGTATATCCGACATGTTGTAACGAGTGCGTCGAGATCGTTGATCGAATCGTTACGAAAGCAAAGCGCTTCAATCTTCCATTGCATGCTGAAAGAAGTTTGATTGGTAAGTCACTTACCATTCGTGCGACAAATGCCGATTGGTGTGCGATAGTGGTGGAATAGAGGTGGGTGGGCGCATAACATTTGTCGTACATACCATATTGTGGTGTAGTCTGGGTGTGGTGTATGGGATGTATTTAGTAAAAAGTGGGGTGTGTTGTACAATACCCTATTTTTATTACACTTAGCATTTTGGTTTATTTGTTCGTATTTCCTAGAAAAAACATTGATCTATTTGTTGTGCAGCCGTACAGCCGTACGGCCACGAAGTAACATCATGCAGTCTCTTTCGCAAGCGACTTAAGTACGGACTTATCGGCTAGTACATCCACGACATAACAAGCGGATCGATGCAATGGTAGATAATCTGACTACACATTCGCATGGAACTGGTCTTGCTCGAAACAAGTGCTAGCAAAATGTTTAGTTTATGTGCAGTAGGTTCCCTATGTCATCTTCGAGGCGGGGACGTAACTTACCAGGCATATTTAGCAGATTTGGCGCACGAACATCACACTCATCAATCACGAGCAATTTCCTCGTCTTACATCACAAATTTAGACAAAGTCATCACAACAATGTCCCGAAGTTTTTTGCTGTGATAAGTATGGTTCAGATTCGCTTTTATCGATAATTATTTGAGTGAGACAGGTAGAGCTATCATATTCTTAGACGACAGGATCACCGAATGTTTAACATGATCAAATTGACTTACGTAAGGCTTTCAACTTCTTTCGGATCCGTGCTTATACCTTCAGGGCATGGCTTTCAGAAGTAGAAGTAAAGCAATTCTTTGCTGCAGAATTTCGTGAACCCGTTGCCATAATGCACGTCCGCGTCTGTGCGATTATTCTCAGTATAGGTAATAACGCAACATGTAGAATTCAGCGAAAGTTTTATAAGACCTGACGCGGCTTTGCCGAGTTCTAACTGTCAAAACCTATCACTTGAAACGTAAAGTAGCTTGACAGTCGACCTTCGTTATATACTATTTGGCATCGTTTTCCTACAAGGCAACCGTTGTAAACAACGATGTGGCCTTCAGGGTCTTTATCGCTCATGAGACTAACAGAGCGGCAGCGTACGACGCATTCCTGGTATCATTGTAATTGTTAAGCTTACGTCAGTGTGGCATCGGAGACCGTTTTTACATCGGCTAATGTCAATTTGCCCGTACAGTTGAGGAGTAGGGCAGCGGGCAATGTTTTCAATGAGCTGAAATATTGCGACGTTTGACTTTCCCTAGATGAGCTCATCGCCGGCCAACTGCGCTATCTGTGGGAGTTCAGATTTGCCGTGACTGGCAAGATTATGCCATAATGTGTCCACAATTTTAGGATATAAAAATCTATCGCAGCAGCAAAATTGATTCCGATCGCCTATCAATTATTCCGCCTGTCAAGATACATTTGTAATCGCGATTTGCTAGCAACAACCATAACAGTGGGTCAACAGATGAAAATGAGGCACTGGATCTATTCATTACCATGGCATTCACCCGAATCAAGCAAATCGCTCTATAACTCGTCACATGGGGAAAGATCTGTCCACTATGTCTAGCTTGAGTGTACCTTGCGCAATGCGATCACAGCAGCACACGTGCAAATGATAGCAGCACCTACAACGCTCCAGTAGTTGATCTTTTCGTTCAGCAACAAGTAGTCCCACACAAAGATACAAACCACGTCCAAGTAACGCATCACCGAGGCAATGCCTGCCTTCTCAAGCTGAAACCCTTTGGTCAGGAGTAGCTGGCCAGCGAACGTGAACACACCGCTACCGATGACAGCCAGCCAGGCATCGAGAATCGATGGCACGACGAATACCTAGAAACACACACACACGTACAATGTTAGCCTGCACCAACGTAACAACAGCTGTAACGCTTGAAACGTACCCGCTGCACCAGCAGCATGTATGCAAGCGATCCAATCATGCTAAATAGCATAAAATAGTGCACGATGACCAAAAAGTGTATGCCCTTTAGCTTTCGCACGGTAATGAATACGAACGCCTGACCAATGGCACCAAGCAAAGCCGATCCGACGGCAATCCATGAGCCATCACTTTGAGCAGTAGCATGGTCGTATCCAAAGATAAAGCCCGGCCGAATCACACAAATTAGGCCTCCAAACGACAGCAGTGCACATGCAAAGCTAGGAACGTCAATGCGTTCGTGCAGCAAACACGCTCCCTGTACACGTCCACAACATCAATATTGTTAAGCAAAAGAGACACCACTACGCCTGCTTGCAAGCAGGTTTAAAGACACGAACAATTCAGCCAACTCACAAGGAAAAAGGTGAAGACAGGAGACGTGAAGACAATGACACTGCTGTCAGCGAGCACCATCTGCGACAAGGCGTAGAACGCGAACGAAATGGACGAAAATCCAGCCAAACAGCGGTAAAACAGCATCGCGCGGTCTCGTTCGGCAACGTACAGCGTCTTGCCAGTAGACCAGATGCACACCTACATTGACATCACACAGAGCAGCAATCATCGACGGAATCAGCGACTCAGGTTCCCATTATATCCACTTCGAAAGTACTGATTTAGCGTTTATTTTGTCACACCAAGACGCCACGTACGTAATTCAGAGCCATAGCGACAATCGAGCGCCAGAATATCGCCTCGATGGACGTCATGGTGTACGTGTTATACTTGACCAGAGTCGACATGAGGCTGAAGCACACGGCCGAGAGCGCCACGCACGAGATGCCGAGCAGCGCGTGTGGTGCGTGCTCGGTCTTGACATTGAGAGGCAGCAGCGGACGGTGCTCGGGCACGTGCGTTTCCAGGCCGATTAACATTGGAGAGTGGATAAAAGACAAGCAAAAAGCCGGATAAGTTGAGCGGGATTAATGGAAGAACTCCAAACGGTTCCATGTGTTTCGTAATCAGTCACTCGGTCATGATCTGTCATGCGAGACATGCGATGGATGTTTTGTGACACACAAACAACTTATTTAACGGTCTGATCCGCGTCGAAAACGAGACATAATCGCGTTCTGTCGAGCGCTTGGCTGTTATGACCATTGTAACTTACGAGATAAATTACAATAGGTCGATGACATGTTTCTGTTTGGATTCCGTGAGTCCTTTCGATGTTGAAGACAGGAGTTGAGCCATCAGCTGCTTGCAGCGTAACACTGCAAAGAAAACGACGGCAATGGAAGACGAAACTTCATTTGTGCTCATGTGGGATTGCTCAAAACTCATGTCAGCAGACTAGGCGGCTGACTGCACTTTGCGTAATTTGTAGACATGATACGCTGACTCAGGCTGCGTTGACAGCTGCAGAAGAGTGGATCTACGTTGACTCAAGACACCTATAATGCATCCCATTCGCCACCCGGATAGAGCTTTACTGACTCGTCGAATCGAACTACGAAATCACACCCGATTGTTAGCTGCCGATGTCATGATCAAGCGGCTGTCTACTCGAGCTTCATCGTCGATCAGCACGTTGTAGCTCGTCGGACATTCCGCACGTGCTGCAAGAGCTGTGAAAGGAGCTGAAACAGAGTAGTTGTAATTTGAACGGGTCAACATTTTGAGCAATGTCTGGCAGACATGTCTGCTATAAACCAGCTCTTTTTACTGTCCCACCCATGTCTTATCGAGCCAGGTAATAGTTTGTTATGGTATTATAAAGAGTAATGATCAGGCAATAGCACGAGAAAGACTAAATAGGCGTAGTATACGGTGGCTGTTTGGTTTGCAGTCGCGGCCGGCGATTATTTGTCGTGTAATATAAGAGTAAAAGCACAATGATGCATACTGAGAATATTTAGTAGTAATGAGCTACTTGTAGTACGCGTATGCCATGATAATTTTGAAACCATTACGTTCGATCTGAAAGCTGATATGAAGTGTAGCCGTGTAAATAATCTGAGGAAGGCGAGTTGGTGTGCTGTCGCACTTCAGATAGCGAGGAAGATATGTTAATCCCGATACAATCACTCGCACTTCTGAGATGTGTTATGTTGTGCCCAATTCATTGCGAGCCCGAAAGGTGAAGCTATTAGTAAGTGTGCGCAAGGTTGAATGCCGAACTTCTCAATCGTACTTATCTGCCTGTGTGTACCTATGTGTTTACGCGGTTAGGTGTAGCTCGCACATACTAAGTGCGATCTAATCTGATTATTTCAATGTGTATACAGTCATTCTTCGGATAACTCATAGGCTGGGTGAAGACAAATTCAATGAACTAGCTAATTTAAGAGTTCCGTAATATTTTAAGTTTCCTTTTTGTAAGAAGTAAAAATCAGTAAACTTTAGATCCTCGTTTAAATTTTCAAAAGACGGGAAAGCGAGGTCTGGACCTCGCCTATTGATTAAAGTAATTCAGTTCGGCGAACTAAATCAGGTTGCAAAACACTTTGCAACAGCAGTCACTAAAGAATGAATTTGGTGCTGTGTAGGTGTAACGGGGTGAATCGTTACATAACAATTTCTAAGAAATTGTTAATAGAATATAACTATAAGAGTTATATTCTCAGAATATTGTCATAAGGACAAATATTCTGTAGCACTTACAAGTAGTTCCTAATTGGTTGATATAGGCCATTATATCAACCAACGAAGACGCGCCACGACAGACGCACGCAATGAGTGGTGAGCAGATAACTGATCTACACATTTGTATTCAGACATAGTTAGATGAAGATAAATAGTGATTTATTGCAGACATTAACTATTATAAATACAGTTCTACTTTTTACTCTAACCGAGTACTCGCTTCTTCTTACCGTCTTCCTCTGCACGTACCAGTGTACGTGAAGTTACGAGGCACCGCCTTATTCTGTCATCAGAATAAGTAGCTTGTACTGTCACCAGTACAAGCTTCAGGGTGCCCCGTTACAGTAGGTCTGTAATCACCCAGTACAGTATGCTAGGGCAACGCTACAACTCCTTGTGTAACGGAGTTACACGTCCGTTATCGTCCTCAAGGGATGTACCTTATGCATGTGATATGCAATCCCAAGTTATATTCGTGATAATGATGTGGTTGATAACTCAGTCACCCATTGATGACAGGTTGAAGTATCATCCATCAATCTGTAATTGACTGAATGTTACTATGCGAATCAGTGTAACCTTGGTAGTTAAATGATGTTTTTTCACGGATAAACTAGGAATTTAAAGTTCAGTTCCCCTTTTGATCGTTTGTTGCCACGTGTCTAATTTAGACGTCGGCAGATCATAGAGGGTCAGATCCATATTTTGGAGTAGACTCCAGAGTATCTTGTGCGAGCAATTCCTTAGAATCATTATCAGCCCCTTGAGCCAGGGCTCGAAGGTCTACGAGCGGATTTATCTCTAATAATCTATGTTGCCTTGTTTTAGGAGCTAAAGACTCATTTAATATATAGATACTTAGCTCCGTAGACCTCAGTAAATATACAGTAATAAGTCTACATCTGACTAAAAGCTGTGTAGCTTTACTACACTTGGTAGCACTTGTAGTCAATCCTACATCGTATTCGTAAAACGAATAACCCTCTGTTGTTATGGCAAGTCTTGCTCATCTCTCTAAGGCAAAACGCCTCGCATCTGATAAGCTTAAAACCTAAATCAGGATCCTGCATGTTGATCGTAGTGTGACCCAAGGCCCGAAAGTGCTCAATGCACGGCTGGAAGCATTTATGTATTTTGAGGCCACATCAATTGGGCAGGTCTATAACCACGTGGCGTCAGAAATGCCAACGCGCTACATCCCTATGCCAGATGCGGAGCCAAATGCCTACCCGCTCCTTCTAAGCGAAGGACTTTCGAAGAGAAAGAGGTAGAGAAGCTTCTTCACTGGATCTGAAAATATGAAATGGCACTGAGCACCACCATTCTGCAGACCGAGCAGCAAAAAGTTGGGATGGCCTTATCAAAACTTGGTGGCAGGGCCAGAAAATGGGCCCTAACGTGTGATGCGTCTGTAAACGCCGCGTATTCCGCGTGAGATTTTCTCAAGAGGCAGATGTATCGCGTGATTCGCACCGCCTGAAAAGGTATATTGCGTGCGATCACGCTTCTTATCCTCCTGACAAGGGAAGAAGGAACCATCGGACTTTATCTAGTATATAAGAAATCTTCTCGCTTCCATGCAATTAGATCCTATCCCTGAGACAGCTTTCGTCACAATATTCATAAGAATAACTTCGAACTGTGATCGCTCGCGCAGAAATTTTTCGTGTCAATCCCCCAACCTTTAAGGAAGCCGTTGACATTGCACAAATGCCAATTTAGATTTAAAGCGGCTCCCTACGGCACGCATGGGCATGCCCGATATTTGTATGACAGAGCCTACCCCATGGACTTCAGTCATGCGATAGGAGAAGAAGCCAAGCCTTAAGATTTTGAACAGCAACGTAAAATCCGTAGATTTTACACGTGAGAAAGCACACGGCATCTCTGCACTAACTGTCCATTTGCATAAACCGCGCCTGAGTCGGCTGATCCGTAACTCCACTCTAAACCGGCTGATCCGTAACTCCACTCTAAACCCGAATCCTGGTACAGCGTAAAAAGATTTCGACTTTAACTAGGCGCGGAGCGCCCTACTGTGGTTGAACTAGGCTCTGCAGACGCTCTAAGAGAGAGAATTGAGCAGGTCTTAGCCCTAAACGACTACGTGGACGTTGTAATAAAGCGGAAGATACAATCCACGCTTGTTGCGTGCCTCGGAAACGAATAAGGCTTTTGAGAAGCCATGGTGAATTCTAATTGACTCTGGGGCATCGGGCAACTAATTCCAACGCTTTCCCTTACAGGAGGCACCATTATGCTGAAGCGTTGAAAGTACATGGAGGTGATTTTATCACAGTTCGTCTGCAACAGAGGCCCATTCACCGTGCCTAAAGTTCCGTTAAACTTAGGTGTATAGTTTTTATTTATTTGACAGCATTAAACGCTGTCTCATCCTAGATGGAAACTCGAGATTTGATCTCGTTCTCGGTATGGCCTGGCTGTAAAACCATGATACATGGATTGTTGGAGGTCTAAGACATCAGGCGCGATGTGCAATTTTTGTAGTGGAGCTTTGGAGCGTCGCGAACTCACATTTGCTAGACAACGAAAGCGCTATTGGCGCGAGCCACTAACTGAGTCAATTAGTATGCTGGACGTCAGGAGTTTGTTTGAGTCACTCTACTCTGATGTCAATTCGGCTTTCAAATGGCAATACTCCGTTGATGGCACTTGTTGTTACGGAGAGCCACTGGATGCAGATAGCAATGATGACCCGAGGTCGAGTAATTTTTGGTGTGTTCCTTCAAATATATGTGTAGTGGCATGTGAGCATTTACAAAGTGAGAGTGGCTGCATGGCACCTCACCGAATGTCGTTAATGAAAGTGTTAGCGAAACGCCCCGGCATCAAGAGCGAGGATCCTCTGATGCATGTGCAGTGGCACGGGAACATCCAGAGAATGAGGGCGATTTTTCATAGCACCTTACTAAATGCCGATAAAGGATTTATTGGTGAGACTCCCAGACACAAAGAATCTGATGTGCGTGAAGTGGCGGATAACTCACCAGATGATATGTTCGAAATTAGAACATTTTTACCGGATTTTGTTGCTGACATCATCTCTTGTTCAAAGTACGATAAAATTGACAAAGCTAAATGACCTACCAGGACCAGGTGGTCCACACTGACCGAGGAATGTTTGTCTCTTTTCAGAGACGACAGCAACGCCAAATGGAGGACGCAAGACGAAAATTTTATGCAGTGTGGCTGAGCGATACTAGCGGTCAGCTGTATCTTATGGTAAATAAGTGAATGGAGTGACAGGTCACGTGGATGGTGAAGCTGG